GCCGAATGCGAATCTCAAGGTTGCAGAGCTGCGGGAAGCTGCAGCTGCAGATGCCACGTACCAGTCATTGATTGAGTGTATCTTGACTGGATTCCCTGATCGCCAGCAGAAGTTGCCTGCTCCGTTACGTGCGTACTGGAATGGACGTGAGCATCTCTCCGTCGACCATGGCATTGTGTTGAAGGGCAACCGCATTGTTGTTCCTGAATCATTGCGTGCTCAGGTATTGCACAACCTCCACGCTTCACACCAAGGCCTAGTGCGTACTAAGTCTCGTGCGCGTCAGCTTGTATACTGGTCCGGTATCACCAAGGACATTGATACACTCGTTCGTTCTTGTCCTGCTTGCCGCGAACACCAGTCGTCCCAGCCAGCTGAGCCCCTGCTGAACGACCGAACCCCAACACTCCCGTTTGAATGTGCATCTGCCGATTTGTTCACTTGTCAAGGTCACGACTTTCTTGTGTATGCAGATCGTTTGACCGGTTGGCCCTGTGTCGCGCGTACTGGCCGCACCACCTCATCGCATGACGTGATACTCGCATTCCGTCGCTGGTTCTCTGATGTTGGTGTTCCTGCTGTGCTGTGTACAGATGGTGGTCCCCAGTTCTCCTCGCATAAGTTTGCTGAGTTTTGTAAGCGCTGGCAGGTAAACCATGTCATGTCCTCTCCCCACTACCCGCAGAGTAATGGGCACGCCGAAGCTGCTGTCAAAGCCATGAAGCGTCTTATCACCAAGACAACCGTGAATGGCAATCTTGACACAGATGACTTCCGCCGAGGGCTACTGGAATGGCGAAACACACCTGGCTCCTCTGGTCAGAGCCCCGCTGAGCTCCTATATGGCCGCTCTCTCCAGTCATTCGTCATTGCACATTGGAAGGAGTTTGATTCATCCTGGCTCTCCAAAGCGACGACACGTGATGAGACTGCCATGCCATCCGACGATTCCGTCACAGACAAGTCGTCAACTCGTCGCTCGTTGCCGCAGCTCCGCCTCGGCACCCACGTGGATGTTCAGCATCCGCGCACCAAGCAGTGGTCTATTCGTGGGGTCATTGTTGCTGTCGGTAATCATCGGGACTACCTAGTGAAGTTGCCGAGTGGTCGCATTTATTGGCGGAACCGCAGATTCCTGCGTCCGTATCGCCCACTTGTGCCTGCACCGCTTGTTGTCCAACCGGCTGCTGCTGACGCCTCTTCCCCGCCGCCGCCGTCCCGCCGCAGCGCACGTCAGCGCAAGCCACCCCAGCGTTTAAACATTGGTTCGCATCATGGACAGTCCTATGATTGACACTCTTGATCACTAATGTCAATTTCTGCTGTCTCTGCTTTGTTGTTTTCATTCTTCATTTTGTTTTATTTATGATAGATGTTGCTGTCACAGGTTTCGCAACATCTCGAAGGGGCGTGATGTGTATCTATATTCATTACGTCATAGTTGTACTGCATGCACGCACACACACAGATTAGTTGAGTGTGCTTCTTTTTCCTGTTGTTCTTTCTCATGACATGTTTTGTTTCTGTTCCCAAGTCTTCACGAATAAATAGTAACGTATCATCAGGGTCGTCAGAAATGTGTTTACAGCACTCGTAAACATGTACTGGCTAACTAATTTGTGAAGTAAGTTACATGTAGTTCCCAGTGGATTCCTGAACAACGGTGTCAGGATTCCCAGCGCTGAGCTCATTACTCGGTACAGGATCCGTGTAGCGCAGCCATTGAAGCCAATGACATGTTCCTATCATTACTGAGTGATGTCTAGAACGTCAATAGGGACTCTAATTGTGGACACAGGACACTCGAAGAAGTCTTTTAGCGATTCGCACTTGCTGACTTGATTATTTGTTTACATGCGCGTTAAGTGGCCGCTCAATAGGACCCTTGCTACGGTCTTATCACGTCTCGCTAAACGCATTAGCGTCCTGTCTCTATAGTGCACGCTGCGACTGAAGCCCGTCAGTTCGAACGTAGATGGTGTCCTTTTTAACACTGGTCTGCTTGTGAGTTATGCATGGGGCGTGTAGTGGTGGCATCTGAAATCCGACCTATGGAGCGGTGCGCTCACATTGCAAGACCCAGTTACACTACGAAATACACGGCGCACGAAAACAAGCCGTTGGATTTCAGTTGCCGCCATTGTTGTACATTGTACGTGGGCGCTCTACCACTCTGGGCTCATCAGCTTTCATAACGATACACTGAGGGGAGCTTCTCCTGCTGGAACCGTACAATCATCTTCATGTACAGTACAAGTACACGTGTTTGGTTTTACAGCATAGCAAGGCGATGAAACACCGTGTTACCAGGGAATCAAAGAAATCCGACCCCCTTCAGAGTAATAGTGGAAGGTGCAATATCTTTTAAAATTGACCGATGCGCAACACGTACGAGGAAGGCCCCAACAAATATTACAATTATAATTTTAAACGACCACTTGATGCAGAGGAGCAGGTCGACGGTCGAACATACATGTACCTGTATACGCTGATGGTCACGTTCAATCTCGAGCCCGCCCCGGTAAACCATGGAATCAGGTTGACATAGGAATTCACTGACACCTGTCTGGTTATACAATGAAGGTGTGTTTGTGATACTGGTCTAAGTAATAGTTGTATCGACACTGCATCGTGGCTGCTCTTGATCGTGTGTCCCATGCCCTGACTCGACATTACTCCTCTTGTCTGCCAGCTTTCTAACAAGGATCTGCTGCGAGACCTGTAAAGTGGCTCGCTTGAAATTGTTTGTCTCGCAGCAAGGCGAACAAAGCGTGCATTGTCCAGCAATTCACGAGCTGACACTGAAAGTGAGTTTTTATCGTTTCCTTAGACGCTGTTGAGCAGCGCAGGGTGATTGTATCATCTCGACACGTGACCAGAGGCATTACATGTCGTGATGTGGCAAGATCCACTTGTGTTCTGTGGCATTTTTGTAACATACGAATTGCGGAGTGCCACGTGAAGTAATAAGCGTAATATGAGTAAGATGGTATTGACAGATATTTGTTGCAACGTTAGTCGTACGTCTTGCGCTACAGTGTACCATGGTCTGTGACAGTTGAACAGCGAGATTCAAGTTTGAGAGAGATAAAAAATAGCTTGTGCTTGTGGTTTCAGCATGCAGTCTGAGTCCGCATGTGCGAGCCGCAGCACTTGAAACAATGTGAACTGGGAATGTTCATTTGACGCTGCGCTCGCCTTTTGTAAGTTCTTAGTAGTAACGTCTTACCCGATACTTCTTCTGAAGCTGTTTGTACACTGCCCCGTGCACTGGTGATAAAGACTTACATGTACATGTACGAGCTACTAATAATACTGGTAGTTGTTTCACGTCACTGCAGGGTCGAAGGTCTGATGACCCTGGTGGCAGTAGGGCTTGAGCCCAGGACACGTTGCATCGAGAACATACTCCACACTCTGCCATTACTCAGCACAACTACAGTGTAATACTTGCTTGGATCTAATCTGATGTGCAGCTACATTTAGGTTCACATCAATAATTATCATGATTCGTGTACTGCATCTTCTCGCCAGCATGGTTAAGTCGTTCATATACATGTACACGTACCGGTGTATACATGTACATGTACATGTCCAAGAAGAACATCGTTAACGTTGTGACACCGAAACTGGCGAATCCGATTCTGCAGCCTCTTTGTCACGCCTTGGAACGCAGTACACGAGAAACTCCAATTAGCCTGTGTGCTATAATTGCATTACATTTGTACGTCCGGGATCTCACGGATGCATTGCCTGCCATTCCTCAGCGGCGATACACTGCTTCCCTGTGTGCGTGCAATATCAGCCTAACACAGTAACAGTTAGCCTACCCAGGGCTAGGGTAGCGCTTGTCTACGATAATGCGATGCATTGTATGACTGCGATAATTGTTGTAGAGTTGGTGTTGTGCATGATTTCTGATTACAGTCATGGACGAGGTGCGTGTCATCATGGTCATTGCTAGACCCTGAGGTATGCTGCGAGCTTTTCCATGTAGCGTCAATCAAGGAGCCGTTATCTAATAAAGCCAGGCAAACTGATCTCGCAGACACTCGACGATGCAGCGGGGTACCTGCAGTGAAATGCGACGGGACAAACAGCGCAATCACAATCACACATCATTACTTCGTCATCTCTCGTTTTCGACGATCTTTCATCATCGTTAGTTTTCAAAGACCCTAGACGGTATAGGAGCTGTGTGAAACCATGCCAAACGTCTGGTCGATGCCGCTGTCAAATGAACTCTGCTACTTGCACTGTGAGATCTCTGCCTGGTCTGACTTCAGCTGCAGGCGAAAGTCGTCTTGTGTTCTTTCCCGTAGCTCAAGTGGTACATGTACAACGTCTTTTTGATGATAACGCAATTATAGGACTGGTTAACCCCACGGTGCTATGGACTGAACAAATACTAATCAGCGATAGTTACTTCCAGTGTAACGAAGCTCCAGTACAAGCTCCACTACTTATTGTGTACATTGATTGTGACGTTTAATCTCAGCACTAGACTGATGAACTCTAAAACTGTGAACCTTCCATTAACTGGAATCCATGTAAACAGGTACTATGAATTTAATAAAGGGGGGGGGGGCGCGCATTTTGTCATCCCTACAAAAACCCGAATTTGAGACCCCAGATTTTAACGACCGGTGTCTAGAACGTGAAGGTGGTCAAAACGGGCCTTTCTTCGGAACTCTCCCGGTTCCTAGGTTTACCTTACTAACACTTGCGAGCAGTGCCTGATGATTTGTCAGTGCGTGAACTTTAAATCTTATTGTTTATAGCAGGACAAACAGAAGATGTACATGTATGTTGGAACGGAGATTGAGAATGAACATGATGTGATAATTGTACATCTTGATCTAGGTCTTGTTTTGTATTTTGTGGTACTCTGCTGCCCACATGACGACAATACTGACGTGCGTTTGCGTGCTTATGTCTGTGCGCGACTGTGCGCGTGCTTGCGTTTGTGTGTGTGCTTGTGTTTGTTGCTGCGTATACAGCCGTGTATGGCGGCACCGCTGAGCGATAGTAACATACACCTGCCGGCCGTGACGTACCATTACCATTTCGTGAACTGGACGCCTTGCAGTGGATCGTGTGGAGCAGGTCAGTGCGATGAGCGCTGCGATGAGCGCTTGAATTGGGTCTGCCCTTAAACATCTCTGCTCGTGTGTGTGTGTGTGTGTGTGTGTGTGTGTGTCGGCGTGTGTGTGCATGTGCGTGTGCGTGTGTGTGCGTGTGTGTCATAGCATGGTTATATTATTGATATCATTATTCTTGCCATGGAGCATCGCTGGACATAAGCGAGGGTCTCTGATTCGAGTCCTGGTGGTGCCATTGAATTTGTATCCGGACTTTTCCGGTTTTCAACATTCCCTCAAACCAAAGAACCCTATAATAGAGAAAGTTATGATTTTTGTGGCTGTGTGTTCTAGGTGTTCAGTCTCCTATCATCAAGTGCCAGCGAGGCGTTGGGTCAGTGGACGACTGGGAAAACATGGTGTTTGACATCGTGGACGATCAGTACTGTGTGCTGGCCGGTAAAGTCAAGCCAGTAATCCAGACAACACGACCATGCCGCCTCAAACCATGCATGCCAAAGTAAGTACATTATGTACGTGAAAACATACAGTTGATACTGAGTGTATACTCAATCTGCGGTCAGAATTGTTTCGTCCTGTGTGGACTCATCAGCGCAGTGTATGATAAGTTACCAGTGTCCTTTCGGATCTTATCTACTTGTACATCTGTTGAATTGTTTCGGGGATTTTTGTCCGTTCTATATTAGCGCCGCTAGTGATTTGCATATTCAGTGTATGTTTGTTCTGCCTATTGTCACACAGATCTCCCTCTTCGTTTTCATATGCACGTGCCCAGAATAGAAAGATGCGTGTACATGTATGTGCATGTTTGTCCCGTCTGATCATTTGTCTGCGTGTGCCTCAGTACAAACTTCTGCAAATCCAGTTTCTCATGTCCACAATCCATAAATCTCGTATTTTTAGAAATTGTATCCACAAATCATCAATCCACAAAGTCGTCTTGGCAGCTATGGTAACTGTGTGCATGTTCATTGCCCTCTTTCTTGTGCAGCTCCTGGGTTAAAGGTCACTGGTCGCAGTGCAATGCATCGTGCAGTGGAGGGTATAGGAGAAGACCAATTATGTGCTATAACCCGAACACTATGGTAAGCCGATAATTATATCAGGATCCAGCAACACTAACATTCATAATACCTAATAGACTATTTTCGTCCCCATAGTCGCACACCTTGTATAACATTTATCCGCCCATTGTTCTCATACCGGTATTAATCTTGGACCAGTATGACACTGGATTCACTTCGTCTTGGGGGTTGAGACATGAGAAGATGTATAACAGGGTTGATACTTCTGCATCCATCAAAGGCCTCATGGGCTTTTATCACGAGGTGTTTTTCAATCACAATCGGTGACCAGTGCAGCCGTTTGAATTGCTACCCTGTGATCGTTTTCTATGCAAAGCTAGAGTTGCAACTGAAACCTCGTTCTTCCTTCTCTGTGTGTATGTTCATGTTGCCCTATGTAGAGAAGTGAGCCAGCGTCGGAATGCCGCAAGCCGATACCACGTCACCTGCAACGCTGCAACACCAGTCCCTGCGACGGTCAGTGGATGGTCGGAAAATGGAACAACGTAAGTAGCCAACGAAAATGCTGCTGGCTAATATCAAGAGCTCATAACATGGATATGTACTCTTTCTAATATTAAAGGACACAATGACCATATATAGGCTTGTCACGTGGGACACTGCTGGACACCTGACATGTACAGGCGTTACTGAAAACTAGCTACATAATATGCATGATCTCCTGCTAGAATCATGCAAGAGTTGAAATAATAGCTACAGGTATGATGAACATTTGCCCAGTAGATTCAGGACAAGTCAAGTCCGTCGTGGAAGTAATGCCTCTCTATCTCTCTCTCTCGTTCTCTCTCTCTCTCTCTCTCTCTCTCTCTCTCTCTCTCTCTCTCTCTCTTCCTCCCTCCCCCCCCCCCTCTCAGGGCCTGCTCTAGACATTCAACACAGCCCGGTCAGAGTGTACCTGGCGCATGTAGGCCAGCCGGGTCAAGCCGGGTTAGATCATCCGGCAGAAAAACAACCATAACGCCTGCTCAAAACGCAGGAAAACAGAAAGGCGAATTTATGACCGGAAATCGGAAATTTTAGAGAACAAGGCGAACTATCAAAGTCCGCAAACGTAGAAGGTAAACGACCAAATCCACTGCCGCTCGTCTTCCTTTGGAAATGCGTCTTGCACAAAGCGCATGACATGGATAGACTGGCATGGTCGTAGTCCTGCCAGGGTCACGACCTTTCTTCCAAGAGTCTTGGAAAGCGTGAGTTCTTTTTCTCTTCGTTGCGGGCTCATCAAATCATCAGTCGGCTGAAAATTTGCAACTGTGTCAAAAGCTATAGCCAAAGTTACGCTTTTGACTGCCTGCCCCATCGACTTGGAATGTCCTGACTTCCTGCTCGCCGCTGGCCAGATCGCGCTCGAACCAGTTGACCCTAGTCCCTAGCCGAGTTTCTGTCGCTTGTAGACTCTAGCGTGTACGGTTGCGCTAGATTTGCAACAGATGGGGTCCGCGAGTCGTAAAATACCGGTATTTTAGGAATCCATTGTCAGTTTGAGACATTTTTCAACTGGGTCAGACTGGACCCGGTGTTTTCTGTTCAGCCAGGTCGTGCAGTTCCCCAGCCGGGCGCGTGACCCGGCTGACCCGGCTCTCCAGCAGGCCCTGCCACTCTCGTAATGTTACGAAAGGCCTAGTCGAAACTACATGGCTTCTGTGCTTCGTGTGTTTGTTCACTTACCTCCAACCAAGAATCTATTTCTCTCTCTCACCTTGTTTCTGTTCACCAGTGCTCTACATCGTGTGGCATTGGAGTACATCAACGGCGAGTAGTTTGCCGATCGTCGTCCGGAGTAATAGTCTCATCACAGTCGTCGCGCAGTGCAATATCCGAGCCTTCCGGCTGTCGTTATCTGATACAGCCGCCACGCACACAACTCTGCTGCAACTCGTCCGGATGCCCAGCTGGTAAGAGGGCCATATATTGCACATGTACGTGTCGTCATTAGCCGAGTGACGTCATGCTTATCCTGGACTCATTGCATGCAGTACGAAAACCTGCCCTTACGGCCTTCGTGCAGCGGTAACTGTCCTGATAACGTTTTGACAAGATTCTGCTTAACCTGGCCCGGCAATGCACAGCACTGAGGTGCATGATAATGTGCCCTGGCAATTCAGGATTCCGCTTGTTGGTACACGGTGCGGTTGTTGGTACACTGTGCGGCAAATACAGGTTTACTGTACAATGGTATGGTATGGTATGGTATTGATTTATTTGAATTCGGTATCTCAACAGTACATTGTACAACTTGGGAAGATCCGAATGACATAGATACATACAATGCCATGAACACTTCTAGGAAAATTGTGTACCACAAAATTCACGAAATTCTCTTTTTCTGTGTAAGTTATGCACATATACATACGTGTCTTCATGTGTTTTCCTTTGTGCGTGCGTGTTTTCATGCTGTCTGTCTATGTGCTGCAGACAAACAGAATATCTGCACCAGTCCACCAGCATCCGCATCTCCAGGCTCAACCACACCATCATAGCACAAGGCTCAGTGAAATCGAGTATTCAGAGGACACCGCTGTGGTGCTTGGCTTTTCAGGTCGGATACAAAAAAATCTGTTGTTGGCAATGCCTTCACTGTACACGGTCCGCTGCAATCAAAGCCGGCCGACTCGGTACCTAGCTCCCCAGGTCTGGGACAAGCAACCCTGATGTGGCTGCTACATGCCCAGCTGGGCTCGAGAAAAGACTGACGATTGTCACCAGTGGAAACTGGACTATACTGGATGTTGTCAGTGGCAACGAAGCGTCACTGTCGCTCATGGCAACCAAGCGTTACTGTCGCTCATGGCAATCAAGCGTCATTGTTGCTCTTGGCAACTAAGTGTCACTGTTCCTCATGGCAACCAAACACCACCGTCGCTTATGGCAACTAGTACATCTCCTCCTGGATATGACAATTCTATGCGTCACCGTAGCTGCAACTGGAAGCTGACAGAGTACACCAATCATCCAGCAGTGCCAGGTCATGTGATCGCTGCCTTGGCCACACACCGAAATCTGTGTGAGTGTTACAGTCCCTGGATGAAGTAGAGTAGAGAGCTATTATCTTCACTTTCCCCTTCTGCCAAGATCAACAGCCTGTGAGCCGTGTTCTTGTTCTTGCAAGCTATCTTGTCACTCAGTGTGCATCAGCCTTCTGAACTATTCCTGCTGGGCCGTCACACAACAATAATTATGGACCTCTAATTGATTCCAGTGCATGGCATTTCAGCATCTAACTGCGATCTGCCACAGAATTCATTGGCTCCCCTTCTCGTCCCCTTCTCGTCCCCTTCCCGAACCGATAGGCTCCAAGACCCGTTTGTCAATCCTATATAAATCGTCAAACAATCATCCAGTCAAACAATACAGTCTACTATACATTTCGAAAGGTTCCCGTGGAATCTCTTTCCTTCTTGAGACCCTATTTAATCAACCTTGAGAAACTGATTACAGGATTACTGAAAGTACCATTATATCAAAGTCATTTTCAAATAACTGCGAGCATCCTGAATTCACGTGTGTGAATGTGTGAATGTGTGTGTGTATGTGTGTGTGTGTGTGTGTGTGTGTGTGTGTGTGTGTGTGTGTGTGTGTGTGTGTGTCCCATATGGTGCAGTGGTATGTGCAGTCGATTTCCAATCGAGAGGTTGCGGGTTCAATTCCCGACGATTATGGTCGCACACGTCTTTCTTCTCTTTCTCGGACTCTTCCTGACTTTTCTTTCATTCTCCTGGGTGGTTACCAACAGCCAGTGTATGCCGGAGTATGTGGTGTGGTGTGTGTGCGTAAAAAATGGAAAAATGAAAAATAGGGATTCACTGGCCAGAAAAAGTCACTTCAAACAGCTGTGTGGTGGATACCAGGCTAAAAATAGTGGTGGTCAATTCATCAGCCTTGCAAGCTGTTGAATGGTGTAATCCCAGCACAAGTTGCTATGTCTAACATAGCTGTTCGCTATCATCGCTTCCGCGATGGGCATGTCTGAGGTCTGAGGTCTGAGGTGTGTGTGTGTGTGGTGTGTGTGTGTGTGTGTGTGTGTGCGTGTGTGCGTGTGTGCGTGTGTGTGTGTGTGTGTGTGTGTGTGTGTGTGTGTGTGTGTGTGTGTGTGTGTGTGTGTGTGTGTGTGTGTAGAGGCAGGTTCGCATGAAGTGCACGTGCTTCATCATCCGACTCCTATCATAAGTCCAGTGTCGGAGTGAGTGAGTGAGTGAGTATGTGTGGTGGTGGTGATGGTGTGTGCACATTTGTGTGGGCACGTGTGCGCGTGTGTGTGTGTGTGTGTCAGCTAGTGTATGCCGGAGTATGTGGTGTGGTGTGTGTAAAAAAATGGAAAAATGAAAAATAGGGATTCACTGGCCAGAAAAAGTCACTTCAAACAGCTGTGTGGTGGATACCAGGCTAAAAATAGTGCCATTAGTGGCGGTCAATTCATCAGCCTTGCAAGCTGTTGAATGGTGTAATCCCAGCACAAGTTGCTATGTCTAACATAGCTGTTCGCTATCATCGCTTCCGCGATGGGCATGTCTGAGGTCTGAGGTGTGTGTGTGTGTGTGTGTGTGTGTGTGTGTGTGTGTGTGTGTGTGTGTGTGTGTGTGTGTGTGTGTGTGTGTGTGTGTGTGTGTCGGTCAATTAATCAGCCTTGCAAGCTGTTGAATGGTGTACTATATATCCCAGCACAAGTTGCTATGTCTAGCATAGCTGTTCGCTATCATCGCTTCTGCGATGGGCAGGTCTGAGGTCTGGGGTAGGTGTTGGCGGATAATGCTCGGTAATATGGGATATAATGCTCTCAGTAATGCTCCACAAAAGGCCATATAATGCTCCAAATAATGCTGATAATGCTCCGTCGGATGGAATATAAACTCCTGAACCTTGCGGTATCGGGCTAAGAAAAGCGCTATAATATTGCACCCATGCTATGCAACATAGAACGCACAATCTGGATCCGCCGCAGAGACTCGGACGGCCTCAGTAAGACCGGTGCCGGCTAGAGCCTTCCCAAGTCGTTTCTGATACGCCAAGAAGGGCTCCTTGACCAGCTTCTGCCTCTGAGTTTCCCTCTCCAAACGAGACTTTCCTTGTTTGTGTCTCGCGGTAGCAATATGGGACATGATTATACTCTTCTTCCCTGGCAATGTTGTATGGCATGCCAGGCACACTAACTTGCCACAGTCGCTTTTGAGCGGCTCCGCACCCGTGTTTCGGCACTGATGGCCACTTCAGTGCTCTGTCCATGAGCTATTCGCGTCCTTTTGGAAACATTTTCAGACTTGGTAATAGCTGTTTTCTGAAAAGACCGCTTCCTCGCTATCGCGGCAGGATCTGCAGTTTCCAACTCGACGACGTCACTATCATCAGAGGACTCCGCCAAAAGCTCATCTGGAGAAAGCCCAGCTTCCTCCCAATCCCAAGAACGGCATCGCGGCGAGTCAGCCATCAGCGTTGGCTGCTAGTTAGCTGGTCTTACACAATGGTCAATGTCCGCTGAAAGTCCAGCGTTACTCTTCGACAAAGACATGGACTCTTGCTTCGATGAAAAATGTTTTTTGTAACATTGTGGACGGTTAACCGGGTAAGGACTTAGGTCTGGAATATGTGCGTGTGCGCACCTCCACCGTTCCATGCTGGCTCACATTTGTTTCGTTCGTTCGGCGTTGTTACCTGGATCTTCAAAAAGTAAGCAATGACTATGTAGTTAGTTAGTTGCTGGCCGAAGATAGACTTCCGGGACCGGAAGTTTCTGCGAGAGTTTCCACACTGTGCTGGACCACAGCTAGCTACTGGCATGGCACTGCATGCAGTATGCTGGGCCTGGCACTGCGTGCCACGATCTGTTTGGTACCATGCATGATGCGTGCGGTGGTCTATCGCTTGTAAGTAAAATATTAATTAGTTGTAGACTATTCTATAGTAATACATCGCGTATAGTAATAAATGTTGCCAATCAAAGACCAACGCTATAGCCGATACAAATCTATACATGAGGATGTGTGTAGATCTACTATGCAGTCATGTAGAACGTCGTATAATGCCATTTTTGGCCTCGTAATGCTTTATAATGCTCGTAATGCTCCGGGTGGCGTATAATGCTCGATATAATGCCAGCATTATCCGCCAACACCTAGTCTGGGGTATGTGTGTGTGTGTGTGTGTGTAATGAAAAAAATGAAAAAGACCAAAAAGTAGGGATTCACTGGCCAGAAAAAGCCACTTCATAGCTGTGTGGTGTAGACCAGGCTGAATAGTGGCGGTCAATTCTTCAGCCTTGCAAGCTCTTGAATGGTGCAATCCCAGCACAAACTGCTATGGCGTCTGCTGTAGCATCGCTATCATCGCCTCTGGCGATGGGCGTCCAATGGTCCAATGGTGTGTGTGTGTGTGTGTGTGTGTGTGTGTGTGTGTGTGTGTGTGTGTGTGTGTGTGTGTGTGTGTGTGTGTGTGTGTGTGTGTGTGTGTGTGTGTGTGTGTGTGTGTGTGTGTGTGTGTGTGTGTGTGTGTGTGTGTGTGTGTGTGTGTGTGTGTGTGTGTGTGTGTGTGTGTGTGTGTGTGTGTGTGTGTGTGTGTGTGTGTGTGTGTGTGTGTGTGTGTGTGTGTGTGTGTGTGTGTGTGTGTGTGTGTGTGTGTGTGTGTGTGTGTGTGTGTGTGTGTGTGTGTGTGTGTGTGTGTGTGTGTGTGTGTGTGTGTGTGTGTGTGTGTGTGTGTGTGTGTGTGTGTGTGTGTGTGTGTGTGTGTGTGTGTGTGTGTGTGTGTGTGTGTGTGTGTGTGTGTGTGTGTGTGTGTGTGTGTGTGTGTGTGTGTGTGTGTGTGTGTGTGTGTGTGTGTGTGTGTGTGTGTGTGTGTGTGTGTGTGTGTGTGTGTGTGTGTGTGTGTGTGTGTGTGTGTGTGTGTGTGTGTGTGTGTGTGTGTGTGTGTGTGTGTGTGTGTGTGTGTGTGTGTGTGTGTGTGTGTGTGTGTGTGTGTGTGTGTGTGTGTGTGTGTGTGTGTGTGTGTGTGTGTGTGTGTGTGTGTGTGTGTGTGTGTGTGTGTGTGTGTGTGTGTGTGTGTGTGTGTGTGTGTGTGTGTGTGTGTGTGTGTGTGTGTGTGTGTGTGTGTGTGTGTGTGTGTGTGTGTGTGTGTGTGTGTGTGTGTGTGTGTGTGTGTGTGTGTGTGTGTGTGTGTGTGTGTGTGTGTGTGTGTGTGTGTGTGTGTGTGTGTGTGTGTGTGTGTGTGTGTGTGTGTGTGTGTGTGTGTGTGTGTGTGTGTGTGTGTGTGTGTGTGTGTGTGTGTGTGTGTGTGTGTGTGTGTGTGTGTGTGTGTGTGTGTGTGTGTGTGTGTGTGTGTGTGTGTGTGTGTGTGTGTGTGTGTGTGTGTGTGTGTGTGTGTGTGTGTGTGTGTGTGTGTGTGTGTGTGTGTGTGTGTGTGTGTGTGTGTGTGTGTGTGTGTGTGTGTGTGTGTGTGTGTGTGTGTGTGTGTGTGTGTGTGTGTGTGTGTGTGTGTGTGTGTGTGTGTGTGTGTGTGTGTGTGTGTGTGTGTGTGTGTGTGTGTGTGTGTGTGTGTGTGTGTGTGTGTGTGTGTGTGTGTGTGTGTGTGTGTGTGTGTGTGTGTGTGTGTGTGTGTGTGTGTGTGTGTGTGTGTGTGTGTGTGTGTGTGTGTGTGTGTGTGTGTGTGTGTGTGTGTGTGTGTGTGTGTGTGTGTGTGTGTGTGTGTGTGTGTGTGTGTGTGTGTGTGTGTGTGTGTGTGTGTGTGTGTGTGTGTGTGTGTGTGTGTGTGTGTGTGTGTGTGTGTGTGTGTGTGTGTGTGTGTGTGTGTGTGTGTGTGTGTGTGTGTGTGTGTGTGTGTGTGTGTGTGTGTGTGTGTGTGTGTGTGTGTGTGTGTGTGTGTGTGTGTGTGTGTGTGTGTGTGTGTGTGTGTGTGTGTGTGTGTGTGTGTGTGTGTGTGTGTGTGTGTGTGTGTGTGTGTGTGTGTGTGTGTGTGTGTGTGTGTGTGTGTGTGTGTGTGTGTGTGTGTGTGTGTGTGTGTGTGTGTGTGTGTGTGTGTGTGTGTGTGTGTGTGTGTGTGTGTGTGTGTGTGTGTGTGTGTGTGTGTGTGTGTGTGTGTGTGTGTGTGTGTGTGTGTGTGTGTGTGTGTGTGTGTGTGTGTGTGTGTGTGTGTGTGTGTGTGTGTGTGTGTGTGTGTGTGTGTGTGTGTGTGTGTGTGTGTGTGTGTGTGTGTGTGTGTGTGTGTGTGTGTGTGTGTGTGTGTGTGTGTGTGTGTGTGTGTGTGTGTGTGTGTGTGTGTGTGTGTGTGTGTGTGTGTGTGTGTGTGTGTGTGTGTGTGTGTGTGTGTGTGTGTGTGTGTGTGTGTGTGTGTGTGTGTGTGTGTGTGTGTGTGTGTGTGTGTGTGTGTGTGTGTGTGTGTGTGTGTGTGTGTGTGTGTGTGTGTGTGTGTGTGTGTGTGTGTGTGTGTGTGTGTGTGTGTGTGTGTGTGTGTGTGTGTGTGTGTGTGTGTGTGTGTGTGTGTGTGTGTGTGTGTGTGTGTGTGTGTGTGTGTGTGTGTGTGTGTGTGTGTGTGTGTGTGTGTGTGTGTGTGTGTGTGTGTGTGTGTGTGTGTGTGTGTGTGTGTGTGTGTGTGTGTGTGTGTGTGTGTGTGTGTGTGTGTGTGTGTGTGTGTGTGTGTGTGTGTGTGTGTGTGTGTGTGTGTGTGTGTGTGTGTGTGTGTGTGTGTGTGTGTGTGTGTGTGTGTGTGTGTGTGTGTGTGTGTGTGTGTGTGTGTGTGTGTGTGTGTGTGTGTGTGTGTGTGTGTGTGTGTGTGTGTGTGTGTGTGTGTGTGTGTGTGTGTGTGTGTGTGTGTGTGTGTGTGTGTGTGTGTGTGCACCGAAGGACTTTCACTGCGCATGAGAAGTTGCGATTTGAAGCGTCACATCAAGTACTGCCCAACTCAGTAGCCTATCATCTCCACTGGAGATGAGGCGTCAAAGGTCAAGGTCAAGGTGTGTGTGTGCGTGCGTGTGTGTGCGTTTGTGCCTCCTCGAGTGGATTCCCGTCGCCCGTGCATGGAGTGTCAGTGAGTGTATTGAGATGAAGAAGAGGAAGAAGAAAATACCTTTCAGAGACTCTAACCACAATGTACATGAACAATGTATATTGGAAAACAGCGAAGATTCGTCTCCAGACTCCAGCTCTGAGCCGTCCAGGGAAGAATACTGAATAATCTTCTTCCGCACTTCACTGTGTCCATGGTGACGGTGAAGTGCGGAATTCCCTTTGAGGAACATTCATACTTTGAATAATGAGCAACACGGATACACTCACTGTATTGACAAAAGACTGCTATCCGTGAATGTTTTCTAGCACCCCCCCCCCCCCCCCCCCCCCCCCCACCTATTCTCTGATTTAGACTAATCAGTAAAAGATCCCAGCTATCAACAGTATGATTGTACTACATGTACTATCATTCATGATGACTTCACTTCACTGACACTGACTTCAGTGCCAGTACTTACATCATGATGATGATCTTCACTGTTCACACAGTCAGTCACCATGGTCACTGACCGCCGCATGTCATGATTACGTGTACGTGTATCAAAAATATCAAAATCAAAATGATGAGAGATTGAGAGTAGTGCAGCTAGCGCTAGTACTAGTACTAGTAGTAGTGGCGGTGGTCAGTGTACCAGGTGTACTGACTCTGTGTAGGCTAGCTAGCTGTCGAGTGTGCACTGAGACTGAGTCTGTCTGTGCACGTGAGTCACTCACATGCACTTCCTCAGTCAGTCAAGACTCAACTGACAACTCAAGCAAGAGTCAAGGTCTAAAAATCGATGCACAGCTGAGCTGAGTCAACGACAAGATCACTAGTCAGACACTAGCACTAGCAGCTAGCAGGTAAACATGTGGCAACACGTCTTTGACTGAGTCAGATCATACCGAAAAGGGTTGCGAAACGGCTAGCGAACATGTCTTCAACTCATCCCAAGAGAGGTGGTGGATGAGGCGGGCAGGAATTTTATTTCAAAACTTACGCAACGATCGTTGGACAACACAGTTTCTTCTTTGAAGGCTTGCAGATGCTTTGCACCTCTGGTCCTCCTGGGTAAGCGCAAGTAAATAGTTCTCCGATTTCCTTGTCGGAATATCCCTACCGATTGTTTCGGGGAATTTGATTGAAAAATGTATCTCATGATTGCAGCAATATTGGCGAGTCCTTTTGTGTAGCGTTCTCTCGCAGTAAATGGGGCCGGGATCACATACAATCATCATGTGTTGTGATCTTTGCACTGAGGCCATGAGGAGAAATTTCTAGCCGCATGTTTGCGTTAGTGCATGTTCTAGCGATTGCCTAGTGAACATCACAGACCAGTTCATTATCATCATTTATAGCAATTATTATTTCAGGTTTCAGGAAAATGATTGTTCTAGAATTCTCCGGAGTGCTAGTGGCCTTGCTTGACTTATTTGAGCTGACCAACCAAAACTTATCTGTGGCACCGTTCGCGAGGAGCCTCGCTAGCTAGCGCTTGCATGAACCAGTGATGTGATCGTCTTTGCCGAGCTAGCTGCGAAATGGTGTAAATAATAATTTCGTTTCCTCGGAATCGCTGACAGCAAACTAACTTCGCTAGCTTTAGCGCCGAATTCGGCCTTCCTGCTGGGAGGAAAACTGCTGCACGAGATGACTCGCAGTTGTACTGGTTGGTTCACCGGGTCGCTGTTGACAAAGCAAGTGAGAAAGAAAAGCTACTGTGATGAAAAACCTGATACTGTATTAAAGACCACATAGGGTAATTTTATGTTGACGCCATTTTACCTAAAACATAACGATCTCGGGTTTTTGTTTTGTTTGTGGGGGGTAGGAACATGAAAATGCTGGTTGCCAAAACGGGCAACCAACTGTCCATACTGAAAATGTGTGTTATCCTTTTGGCAAATAAACGAGTTTATAAAATTTACTGAGCTGTCTTCATTCATTACATCGCTTGATTTAAACGTCCGTAATACTACCGTTAATAAAAGTGTACTGAAAGCATGTATGTGCGCGTACATCGTGCAATGTGGCGGCTCATGACGTTATGCTGTACTCGACACGAGAATAGAAACGATTTGACGGCGAATTTGGCTGAGCTCCGAGGTTTGGTGAGGTGACTTGTGTAGAGAGTTGATGATGTTGTGTGTTGTCTGTGTTGTCGGCATGTGCACACAGCCTCTTGGACGGTCGCCAATGAGCAGGTCCTGACGGCGTGTGACGGGTGCGGGCCAAGACAGCGTACGTGTTGCCAGCACCTCTTGCAGCGACGGCAGCAGCAGTAGCGTGCCACCGTTGCCATGGCAAGCAATGTCCGGCCGGGCACGACGAGTCTGTTGTCACCGCCTACGCAGCTCCACCCGAACACCGACCTGGAGAGTGGCGTGAGTACATGTAACTTACAGTCAAACCTGTCTAAGACGACCGCTCAAGGGACCTTCAAAACGTGGTCTCTGTTATCAGGTGGTCTCCTTATCCAGGTTCATTCGACCGGAAATAGCATCTCCTTGGTCCTTGTTTCAGATGTCTTCTAGGACAGGTGATCGCCTTATCCGAGTAGTCGCCTTGACAGGTTTTACTGTAGAGTCTAGTCGTGGCCAAGGAAATCAGATCTGCCAGCCGAAGGGACCATCCGGCATTATCGATAATTTTCATGAAACGAAAAAGTTTAGTCTGACCCCCTGAACGAAAAATATATTGACTTGACAGCTGGAATAGATTGACGTTTCAGCTATCAACATGTTTCATAACGAAACTCTACCCGACCCACCCACACATAAACGAAACTTTTTTCGTTTTGTGTAAAATATTGATAATTATGGACTAAAGCAGTGCCGCCACCTTTCCCTGCCAATTCCATCATGCACGGTGCAAAAACTCATGCGCGGGCCGCAGAGGCCGCAGGAGACTTATGTTGGTTTCGGCTCACGGCTCTGATTTCTTTGGCCACGACCGTATGTTATAGCGTTGCTGGTACATGTATTAGGAAACCCGAATGTCAGTTCTGTTTAATCATTTCCCGTGTATGAGACTCTGTGTGATGTAGCACTTATTATTATTATGTGCATTTTCGCGTTGAAGTCGACCGATAGGTCCACTTCTTCGCTTGTGCTGTTGCACTTACAAGCCCTTTTTATATACAGTAATGCCTTTCCAACCACCCTCGTTGTGGTAGCTGCGAGTGCTGGAGAATCTAGGGGTCAAGAACCCGAACAAAGTCCAACACAGGCTGTGTGCACATGTGTGTGCGTGCATGTGTGTGTGTGTGTGTGTGTGTGTGTGTGTGTGTGTGTGTGTGTGTGTGCGTGCGTGTGCGTGTGTATGTTCATTATCCCCAGTACGTGCTGAGTCGAGCGCTGTCCAGCCTGCTACTAACACCGCTGATACCCATCAAGACCTGGCTGACACAAGCAGAGGTACGGCTGTTGCCATCCTATTGGCTAGTTGATCTAATTTCTAAATTTACAGTACTTGCCGGAGTACTAGCAAAGAGCAGGCTATGCCGATGATGTCATGGTGATGAAGTAGAGGGGATTATCTTATGGGAGCTAAGTGTACAGAGTGAGTCGGTAGATTCATTTATCGGCGATATCAAGAGTAAATAAACTAGAGTGTGCAACTGAAATTTTTGTTGACGTAATCTTTTCTACGACGCACGCGCTGCGAGTCTTTTGGGAAATAGTTTTGCCTCGTGCACTTGGCCGGGCTTTACATTACAAGGTCGGTGCCCAGCACGTGCTCTCACACTTCCCTGCGGCAAAATGCGCGTGCTCAGTACGACACGCGTCATGTTTTCTGAAAGTAGTGACGTCAACGAAAATTTCCGCCATGGGCCGGGGATCTGCAGATTGTGTGGAAGAGATGCGGAGTTGCACACTCTTGTTTATCTACTCTTGGCGATATCAAGAGTACTGTACTTTCACAAATTTTCAGTATACTTATATTTTCGGTACCTTCGGTGCATCTGTTTCATATCCCAAAATGTCAATACACCGAACAAACACTGACACACATACCGGTAATCCAATAGGAAACTTCTTCTCTGTACCTAAAATTTCCGTTCACCCAACCCGGCCTTTTGCCCTCAAATCGAAAGTATTGAGCGCCTAAAATTTCTGGAATAGACCAATCCCGAAAAGATTGTCTGGGTTCGTGAAAGGGGGCACGCGTGCAAGCCAGCACGTGTGAAGTGCATCGTTTTGTATTCAGTTTGTGTGTGTCAGCTAATGGCGGAGGAGAGAGAGACTTTTGCTCGCCGAGCTGAAGCTAAAGGATTTGATGGAGTCCTGCCAGCAGCTAGTCAAAGGACCTTCGGTACCTTAGGCAGACCCTGACGGAGTTTGGAGGCCAGCTAGCTCTCGGTGAGGAGAGAAACATTCGCGTGGCGATCGACTCTCCGTAAAAAATGCAAGCTACATAGCGCCGACATACTGCAACAGCTACGATTTCAGCTAACTTCTCGATCTGCTGCTTCACAAAGTTCAACTATTTACAAGTCCTGACTGTTGTAGTCTGAAGCTGGAGTCTCATCGCCCACCTACAGGTAGCTTTTGGAGCTGATGGATTTCCCGACTTGGACTCCTTCCGCAAACTCTCGCAACATTACTACAGTGTATGCTGTGTTTCCGCACGCTCGTGTCGACATGTCATTAATTTTATACTGTACATGTACCGGGTCGCGGAGGAGCTGGACGACCTCCGCTGACTCAAGGTTTCCGAAATACTGCCGTCGTCTTCGTTGATGTCGCTGGTGACATTCTCCCCTTGCGCATAGTTGTCGTCCCGGGGGTAAAGACTATGTTGTCTTTCGAAATAGTTCTTCATCACGCTCGCGCGAATGCCGCGAATGATGTTTCTCATCATGAACTCGTTCCGACGGTGTGACACGGCGATGGTCTTTGGTGGGGCACTGGCTTGGCGAAAACGATATCTTCTTGTGCAATATAACATTGATCGGCTGCAGGTGAGTACAGTCACTTCGTGGTTGGTCCTATAGGAGGGGAGCGGCCAGGAAAGAGGCAGGACTCATCGAAGACGAAGCGCTCGCAACAAACAATAGCACTCGAAATATCTCGTAAGATTTAGGGCCTATCGCTTTGAGCCATAGCGCTCACAGCCTTGCCTACTTCATCAAAGTGAGCTCTACATGTTCGTTGACACCTCTTCACACTACCCAGAAGAGCGAAACAAGGATTATGTCTTAGCATTTCAACTCCAACAGCAGACCATTACCAGTGCGAGAGAGAAAACTACAAAGGGCTTTGCTTTCTGTCGCATCGTCTCTCTTGCATGCAACTAACGAGAAAACCGTGTACTTACCCTCGCATTCACACGCGAACTATCAAACACGTCCTGTGCCGCATGCTGATCAGGTAGTGCCATGTATGTGTTGTACAGTGTACTCTCAGGTGACATGCCCCCTTTCGAACCCAGACAATCTTTTCGGGATTGGTCTATTAGATTACATGAAACCCAGAGTGTACAGCTTGTGACGTTTACTGCATGGGTGTCCGTCACGTCGAAATTCCGGGATTACATCATATTTAAGGTAAAAAAAAGGAGCAGGACAAAATGTTACGAGTTATGACTAACTGTCCACCAATGTAACCAGATCATATACAGTCAGCGAGTGCGACAAAATGTCACAAAACTGACAAGGAGTACTGAGACATTCAGCAACCTGACGCACTAAATAGGGAGGTTTAGTTCCCACGTAACGGAAACGCGTACGTGGGTGATCCACGTAAAGTGGATGAAGGGCACCCACGTTGCAATGTTGTGTTTAGTCACACGGAACAAACAAAAGCATGAAGCTAAAGGCCAAAACCTGGTCCGACGAAGCTACCCCGGCCTACGAAGCTCATCCAGTATTTTGATTTCGTACTTCGGAAACTTCTTCAGCTGAGCACCTTCACAGCTTGCACAATGCACTCCATTCTGATTTTCACCCACGTTCTGGCGGAACGTGGGTGAGCCTCCATACACGGTATGTCGTGAATCAGAAAACGTCTGTACGTGGGTCACTGAGTATCACGTGGTACACACACGTAAAGTACCCACGGATTACGTGGGACTAAACCTCCCTACTGACTGCATATGATCTGGATACGTTGGTTGACAATTAGTCATAACTCTTAACATTTTGTCCTTCTCCTTTTTTTACCATAATTAAATTGGCTCACCATCCGAGTACATCATATTTAGTGAGATTTTTTATATAAAAAAGGAGGAAAAAGGATTGCCTGGAGAACCCGGGTATCGATCCCGGTACCTCTCGCATGCTAAGCGAGCGCTCTACCATGTGAGCTAGTCCCCCTGCGTGTTCCAATGGCTGGGAAAATGCAAGCTTGTCGATGAAGGAGCAGATCTGCGGCAGGAACTAGGATAGTACTAGCAATGACAGTGTGCATACGCAGGCTACCTGATTAACCATGTCATGATTGGAAGCTGTGGCCTTAGTAAAAAAAAAAAAAAAAAAAAAAAAAAACCCTTTCACCCCCAAAAACGTGTTTTCACGTACAGTACAACCTGTAACTAAAGACTACCGTGACCAGCGACCAGCCTGGGGCCGTGTCATCGATTGGCGAATCGAATTGAGTGCGACCTGGCGGTGTGGTCTGAGCAACGCTGGCCCAATCGAACAAAACAAGGGTGTAGTTCGCAAAATGTACGCATATCGTACAAAGATTCTGTGAAAGCTGTCCAAAAACGCCAAAGCCCATTTCTACTCCAGCCTCTCCCGGTGTGAGGGCCGGTGTGGTCGGATTCCACTCCAAGTACACCTACTCCGGATTCGATCGGATTCGGCCAAACGATGACGCTCACTCGGAGCGCACTTGCTCGGGATTCGCCCAATCGATCATGCCCCTGGTACTTCGCCAGGCACGGACGGTCTCACGTTCATGATAATTATGGTTGTGCTTTGCAAACCTCTAACTAAGGACCACCTGCCACTAAAGACCGCTATCTCTGACCGCAAGGGGTGGTTGTTAGTCCCAGGTTTCACTGTACATTGAATTTGACTGCAGTGAAACCTGCCGGTCTAGGACGACCACTGCTCAAGGGACCTTCAAAATGTGGTCTCTGTTACCACGTGGTCTCCTTATCCAGGTTCATTGGACAGGAAATAGCATCCCTTGGTCCTAGTTTCAGTGGTCTTCTTGGACAGGTGGTCGCTTTATCCGAGTGGTCGCCTTGACAGGTTTGACTATATGTACAGTGCAATAGCAATCGTTGTAACTACAATTATGAGGAATTATCGGATCGTAGCAATCGTAGCGATTATCCGAACTGATAGAAACGTCTTTACAGTATGATTCTGGCGGTATGTTTTGTATTGCAAAGGCCTTTCTATCAGTTCGAATAACATACATCATCACCTAGGTAAAGACAAAACATAGCGAGGGCTCCTGGGCTTTCAAGCCCTCTCGTTTTGGCAACACTAAAAAAGATGTTCTTCTCGAAACCTCGCCTGGCCCCGAAGATATGATCTAGGTCCCAGCCAGCCAGAATGCACATGATGCTAGTGTGCTACAATGTACAGTTGCGCTCACTGAAATCCGACCCAACGTGCAAACCTGGAGCCCTCAACTTCCACGGCCCTTGACGCCCTGGAAGTGGCCCGAATGTGGCTGGGCGTACACATGTACACATACAGTGATGTAATCAGTTGGTCCAGGGTGCCAGCTTTGCACTTTGGGTCGGATTTCACCAAGCGCAACTGTACTTACTCCCTTGTGCAAGCCGCCTTCTTGTCACCACATCATGTGACCGTTGTCCAATATGAAGACCATCGATGGTGACGGTATGTAGCAAGCAGGGGGACTAGCTCACATGGTAGAGCGCTCGCTTAGCATGCGAGAGGTACCGGGATCGATACCCGGGTTCTCCAGGCAATCTTTTTTTCTTCTTTTATTTCGCAGGCAGGATTGTATTACGGGAGTACATGTGTCGTAGAGGGGTTTTTGGGCAACATATTGAAACAGTGACTTTGTGTGTGTGGGTATAGTTTATCAGAACACCTCTCCAGGCTTTGCATCAAAGAAACCCATTTTCTTATCAGTAGGCATGAGAAGTTTAGCACCAGTTGTTTACATTGTATGTCTGCTCGATGAATGACCTACTGTAAAACTGTGACTCGTTAGACTTTCCAGGGAGTAAGTACATTGTGGCACAATAGCATCACGTGTATGTTGGCTGGCTGGGACCTAGATCGTATCTTCGGGGCCAAGCGAGGTTTCGAGAAGAACATCTTTTTTAGTACTGCCAAAACGAGAGGGCTTGAAAGCCCAGGAGCCCTCGCTATGTTTTGTCTTTACCTAGGTGATGATGTATGTTATTCGAACTGATAGAAAGGCCTTTGCAATACAAAACATACCGCCAAAATCGTACTGTAAAGACGTTTCTATCAGTTCGGATAATCGCTATTGCTACGGTCCGATAAATCCTCATAATTATAGTTACAACGATTGCTATTGCACTATACATACAGTCAAACCTGCACGGTCGTATGTCATTTCTAACGCCGAGAAATAGAACGGAGAACCCGAGCAGTTAACAGAATCGATATGTTCACTGTTTGGCAAGTTTTCAAGTGCCAATGCCTGTGCTCTCCAGCGAACACAGCTGCTTCATTCCAACGCACGGTCCTCCAGCACACGGGGGTGTCGAGCACTGCTCGAAATACTTAGGTCCACATTTGAAAGTTGCAGTTTTGGGTCATGATCCATGCCTTCTTTGTTATGTTACTGCTTGAAATCGGCATTTTTCCTTCGGCACAATCAGGCAGGTTTATCCGTGGGTAGATTTTATGACGCTCCATGTTACTGAAGGACTAACTTCAATCATTGGTTTTGTAGCCCCATTCTCTAGGAGCTGTCTACATCTGCTTTGTTTCAATGTCCAGCATAAGCGAACGTGTGGATCAAGCATAACTGCTTGGTTGACGCTGCCGCGGGAATGCCTCTAATAATAATAATAAGATACCGTAGTTTGTCTGCAGGGTCTTGATTTGTGGCGTATAGGTCCTGCCGCCTTCCCTTGTGCATTCTTTGCCAGGTTCATCTTTCGTGCCTGCCCAAAGACCGTATTGTTGTTTTCTGTCTTTGTTGAAAAATTTGTAAGCCCAGTCTCTAGTAGAAGCCCGGGGTCCGGACTGGTTGAAAACAAATATAAACGTGGAGCATAATGGAGATAATACGATATGTTTACCCTGTGCAGGGGGACTAGCTCACATGGTAGAGCGCTCGCTTAGCATGCGAGAGGTACCGGGATCGATACCCGGGTTCTCCAGGCAATCCTTTTTTTCTTCTTTTTTTTCTCTGATGGAGCAATAATAAGTCCGGTCTGTGCAGTTTTCAAAGTAAACACTGGATCATGGTTGATCTTCGGGTTGTATGTACGTGTGTGTGTGTGTGTGTTTGTGTGTACACGTGTGCATACGTGAATGTGTGTTTTGTATGCATGTGCATGCCCACGTGTGGTGTGCGATCCTGTCTGTCTCTTTTCTTCCCAGCTGGACTATGTCATCAGCAAACATCTGCGTGAGAGCGGCATCACACGGCACCTTCGCGGCCGCTCCTCGGCGCGTCTGGACCTGAAGACGTGCCAGCTGTGGCGCTTTGCACCGCCGGGAACACGCTACGTCACGTTCGACGAGATCATGTACGCAAATACCTGACTGAGCACACATGTACTCGTATTGCCCCCGTGCACTCGTCGCACACGCACGCACATGTCAACCTTCACAGCAGTTGCCCAGGCAGGTGGCACTTACAGATACTTCATAACCTGTACTTTTACGTATAGTGAAATTTCAGTGTCGGGTAGTGTTGAAACGATCTCACCGGGTACTCGTTAGCTCCCTCGCCAGAAACTCGGCTCGTTTGTGCGACCAGCTCGTTTGCACATATTGTAAAATATGTTACAACTCCCTGGTCGATCGAGAGTCCAGTCCCGCGCAAAGTGAAAATCACTCGCAGTTACAGTGACTGTATGCCGGCACGACACTTGAGTTGTTTCAGTTGTCTTTGCAGCTTTGGTGGACTCTACTGACGTCTTGTTCCGCATCTGCTGACCTGTCGCAGGATATGCTTCGGTCACCTCTCCATTCGAGTGAAAGTTACGCTCCGTCGTTTGGAAGTTTTCTCCCGCGATGCAGCGAAGACCATGGCTACTTGCAATCTTTGCAAAACGGTCTATTTTTACAAAGGCTACTCAACGACGGCGCTGAAAAGACATCTCGACACCAAACAGCAGTCCGAAGTGAAGCAGTAGCAACCCCAAATGCCGGCGGTGATTATTTGAACCAGCTGAAAAAAATCGAACTTAGAAAAAAATATGTTGAAAAAATCATATTTGCCACATCAATGAAACTCGTTAGCTCGCTCGATAGCTTGCTCGTTAGTGGAACTGATCGCTCGTTTGTTATAGATACGCTCGTTTCAACACTAGGTCACTGTCGGGGGCCCTGCCAGTTGTAAGGCGTAATGTCGAATTGGCTGACCAGCATTCCCTTCGCATACAGTGCATACGTACTCGAGTGCCTTTTTATGTTTAATCCAGATGTAGGTGACTGGTTTCTCTACCGAAATAATTACTGAAATTAGAGTTACACCAAAATGAATGTGTTATCATGTGACAGCGTATTGGAATACGTGTAGCACTCAAACATGCTGTCTTGCATATTATTGATGCATAGCCGCTGTGTTTATTCAGTATCAGCTGAGGGCATTGAAAAGGGGGGAAAAAGTGGGGAGAGAAAAAATAGAGTGTCACCACCCGGCCTCTGTGCGTAAGTGTGGTCCTGCTGATAACGATCCCGGAGATCAAACTGGAATGGACACAGCAGGAAAGTGAAGACAGGAGGAAAGTAGAGACAGCAGGAAAGTAGAGACAGCAGAAAAGTCAAGAATGAGCATATCCTTGTTTCTCAGTGCACAGTTCTTGTGTTCAACAATGCCCCAGAGGAGGAGATTGAATACATGCATGTATCGTTACATCCTGTTGTTGTCCTCTTTGTGTATATTTGTTCAGACCACTGCTATCAGCCGAGTGTCATGTGATCAAGCACGGTATCACTGTCAACTTACCCAAGTTTGCTGTCAACGAGCCGCAGGCCACGGCCACAGTATTGAAAGCCGGTAAGAAAACACACAACAGCTATGTGCACTCGTTCAGCCAACAGTACATAACCCCCACCAAGAGTGTGCAACTCCACTGTGGGTGCTGTCCCGACAAAATTTCAAGTTGACGTCATTCTTATGATGCACTTCAATGCACACGTATTACCAGACGTATCTGACCCTGTGCTGGACAAAGCCACTATTTGATCTGGTACAAACTAGTACAAAGAAAACGTGTGATGTGTTGACACCCTGTACAAATGTCGTAAATCACTGGTGCAAGGAGCATTGCTGCATAAAAACGACGAAGTGTACATAACCCCCTCCCCCAAGAGTGTGCAACTCCCGCATACCCTGTTGTGGAGTTGCACACTCTTGGGGAGGGGGTTATGGGCTCTTGCTATGAGTCGTACTGCCGAGAAAATATTATGCAACTCGAGGGAGAGGAAAAAAGGATTGCCTGGAGAACCCGGGTATCGATCCCGGTACCTCTCGCATGCTAAGCGAGCGCTCTACCATGTGAGCTAGTCCCCCTGCACATTTTTATGATGGGACAGTTGTGTTCTTGTTATGTTGTATGGGGAACAAAGAGGTAGATGTGTTTCTTGCGCATGCTCAACATACAGGGAGCTTCTCCGAATCCACAGTGTTGGACACAAGTGTCGTCTCGGTTGGAGAACGAGCTGCCTCGACTATACCCTCGCCACGCCACACATCAAACGGACTAGTCAAGTGGTTTCTCTCTGTTTCTAGAGAGAGAGAGCTTTTCATTACTACACCTCAGGATCCGACGGGAGAACTGACAACTGACATGGCAAAAGGAAGCATGATAGCGGAAATTGGTGCCCTCATCAGCACAAAAATTGGTGTACTCGATATCATATCAGCACAAAAAGGTGCACGTGTCAGCAATACAACAAAGCAGCGCAGCAGCATGTACAGGTCAGCAGCACAGAGACACAAATACAGCAGCACAGAGACACAAATACAGCAGCAGGTACGAGAAAGAGACAACACGTGCAGCCACATGTACAACAAGGCTCACGCCAGTCTGGGTGGTTATTGCACCCAGCCGTACCTCTTTCAGTGCAAAGCAAGCCCACTACAGGCGCCGGTGCCCTTCAAGGGGGGGGGGGGTCCGGAGGCCTCCCCGGGAAAATTTTCAACAAATGAAGCAAAATCCTGCATTTTGAGCGAAAAAAGAGGGAGGGGGGTTCTGGGCACCCAGGAACCCATACGGGGCACGCGCCTGCACTATGATGTTCTCCACGGATTCAAACGCATTCTAAAGGTCCTATTATGAAGAAACCGGGTCCATAAAACTTCCTATGAAGCATGGACACTTGTACACTATCATTGTAAAATCTTGCAACTGTTGAGTCTCACTCGTTGGTACGGCTCGATTTCTCAGAGCTCACTTCACTAGAACTGACAGCTCGATCAATTCACAAAGTTTTGTTTCATGAGAAAGTACCTTATTTCCACTTTGTCCACGGTGTGTGATAGTATTGTAATGCCAGAGGAGAATGTTTCCTGTTCTGTGTGTGTGTGTGTGTGTGTGTGTGTGCGCACCTGTGTGTGTGTGTGTGCGTGTGTGTGTGTGCGCACATGCGTGTGTGTGTATGTGTGTGCGTGTGTGTGTGCGCGCGCATGCGTGTGTGTGTGTGCATGCCGTGTGTGTGCATGCCGTGTGTGTTCACTTGTCTATCTGTGTCTGTGCAGTTTCTCAGCGCCAGGACTTGCTACATACCAGCAGCAGCAGCTCAGCCGCACCCGTGTCACCGACCCAGCTAGTATGGGAGGCACGGCGCTGCGAGACTGGGGTCCGTGCTGTCGAGCAGATGCACCTGCTCCTGCAGCAGCTCGTCGACGTTTCACAGCTTCTTGATCAGCATCGCCAGCAATGCGAGGACTTCTCACGGCGTTCCTACGCACATCGCAAGCCCGGCCTGATTCGCTCAGACAGTGGTGCCGTGACTGGGTTGTTCAGCTTCGACCCTGACTTGGATTTGGTCGTTTGGCCGCCTCACGTTGATTCGTGGAGCAGAACGCTACAATCAGCAGACACAGACGTGAAGAAAGGCGAAGCTGGATACGCGTCTCAGCCTGAAGAACCCCTCACCACCAGTGTTCTACCACGTATTATCAACCTGAAGGCACCACACCACTCGTCAGCTGGTTCGTCGTCGGCTGCAGGTGCGGCAAAGCGGCCCTGTCTGCCACGTCCCGTGTCGGCTGTACCCTGTGCCGGTGGTGATTTCTTGTCAGCAAAGACACAGTCTCCATCCTGCATGAGCACTGCGCTGCTTGATGACAGTGGCTTGCCCCCCACGATCGGCCATAACTCCACACCCAGCCAGTCCATATCGACGACCTCCAGTGCGGTCCTGAGTTCATCCATGCTACAACTGATGCAGCATCCGCACGAACAGTACACCAACGACTACCACTCTCCACAACAGCAGCAGCAACAGGAGCAGCAACATCAACAACAGCAGCAGCAACAACAACAGGAGCAACAGAACCCACATCAACAGAAGCAGCAACCCCAGCAACAGCAGCAACAATATCAGCAACAGGAGCAGCAACATCAACAACAACAGCCGCAACAACAGCAGCAGCAACAACAGCAGCAACAACTGCAGCCACAGCAGCAGCAGCAGCAACATCATCAGCGACAACAGCAGCAGGAGCAGCGATCAGAGTGTGATTTGTCAGCCACATCATCCCACCACCCTTCTAAGCAGCAGCAGGAGCAGCGATCAGAGTGTGATTTGTCAGCCACATCATCCCGGTACCACCCTTCTAAGCAGGAGCAGCGATCAGGGTGTGATTTGTCAGCCACATCATCCCGGTACCACCCTTCTAAGCAAGAGCAGCGATCAGAGTGTGATTTGTCAGCCACATCATCCCGGTACCACCCTTCTAAGCAAGAGCAGCGATCAGAGTGTGATTTGTCAGCCACATCATCCCGGTACCACCCTTCTAAGCAAGAGCGTCACCTGTCTCATGACCAGGCGCTGGACGAAATCGAAAGACTTGGTGTCATTGTGCGGCAGCGAGTACCTCTCATGGTTGGTCTTCCAGCACATCTGCAGTCACGAATGCAATCATTAATGAAACTGATCCGAGCGGCTCGTGAACGCATGGCGGCCATCGACTGGCTTTCCGACACGGATGCGGCGGAAACCAATCCCGACATGCTGAAGTGTGTCACCGATACTCAGCAGAGCATCGTGTCCCTGTATCGTCTTCTCGAGTCCAACCTGCTGCGTCTGATGCAGCGCTATCTTTCACCACTACACCTGGCTGTGGCACAGACTGAGCTTGCACAGGAAACAGTCAAAGGTTCAACATTGTGGCCTACGCCTGACCGTAGTGATCATGCTTGTCCGAACGCGAGCATCCGTGCGTCGTCTGAGCTGCACAGAGGCGCATCATGGACGCAGCAGTGCACGGTGGATGTCCAGCAGCTCTGCCCGCAGGCGCTGGAGTGTGCTCGGCTGTTCCGCTCCGTCGAGGCTGAGATTGCTGAGAGCCTGTCGCGGCAATGCTGCCACTCTGCCGGTGCTAACCGTGAGTGTGGCACGAGTGCTAATGAAACGAGTTACAACGAGGATGGGACTCGAGTGTTTGCTAACCGTGACTGTGGCACGAGTGCTAATGAAACGAGTTGCAACGAGGCCGGGAACCGAGTGCCTGATGCCAGTGATGGTAGCCATTTCCCCGCGGGTCCAAGTGCCGGTGCTGATGGTACAACAGCCTCTGCGAATGAGCGGCAGCAGCAAGGTCAAGATGTGCTGGATCACGTGGCGACATCCCCCCGCACCAGCCAGCGTCAAGGCAGCGCAGACATCGCCACCGGCAATGATTACCCGGAATGCGTGACACCACCAGGAAGAGAGCAGCAACAGCAGCAGCACTACGGACAGCAACAACAGCAGCAGCAGCAGCAGGAAGTACAAGAAGGGCAGCAGCAACAACACGGCAATAGCAGCTGCGCTACCACACGTGTTAGCCACAGTGAGAGGCAACGCCGAGATTGCAGGTCACCTGTGCTAAGCTCAGCAGATCAACTCATACAACAATACTTCCTGGAATTGCTGGGAACTGACGGGGCACAGAGTCGACACGAGGAGTTAAGGCCGAGAGCATCCGGTAGCCGTGTGTCGCATCAAGAAGAACAGCAACAACAGCAACAACAGCAACAGCAGCAGCAACAACAACAAAAACAACAAGGCGAGCCAAAAGAACATGCGCAGCACCACCTGCAGCAGTGGAAGGAACTACTAGCACCCAGTGAACTCACACAGCAAGAAAGATCTGCTAGCGCTGTGCACGTGGTGGAACGCCAGCAGCAACAACAAATGCCAGACTGTACTCACGGTACAATCGTCTCCGTTGGTCGTCATGAAGAAGACAACAGCTCTAACACCTCCGCAGTGAAACACACTGTTGACTCTGGCACCGGCAAAGACTTTAGTATGCATACTCCAAATGCGTTGCCAGCGCTAACGTCAAGTCAGAATGATGCAGCTACTGCGTTGCCAACTCTAACATCAAGTCAGAATGATGCAGCTACTGCGTTGCCAACTCCAACATCAAGTCACAATGATGCAGCTACTGCGTTGCCAACTCCAACATCAAGCGAGAGTGATGGAGCCGCTACCCTGCCAACACTGACATCAACTGAGAGTAATGCTGAGCTGCTCATGCAGCAGCACTTCCTGACGTTGATCAGTAGCAGTGATTCAGATCAGCAACCTGTCTCTACTGGCGCATGCTCTCAGGTGAATACTACTGACCAGCATGAGCAGCATGATGTGTGTGAGCAGAAAAGTGCAGACTCACAACGGTCTGCGCTGGATGGTCACACGCTAGCTAGCCACGATAGCACCAGCAGCAGCAACAACACCGTCAACAGAGGTGTAATGATCGGAAGTGCAGCAGCGCAGCAGGTGGTGTCAAAACCGCCGGCCGAGTTTGCGCCCGCAGTGCTGTCCTTGTCGTCACTGGCTGCACGGTCGAGCCATCTCGGTGGCGATGCATGCCGCCTGCAGAAACAGGGCAAGATTCCGCTCACGGTGGCTACTCAGGGAGAAGCGGTAGAAGACTCAACAATGGCTGCTGGCAGCGTGTCTGACGTCACCTCAAGCATAGCCTCTCACCACCACCATCACCACCACCGTCGACAGTCTTCGTTTGAGTACGACATCGCCTCCTACTCGTCATACTGCTACAGTGCCAGTGAAGGGGACGGCGATATTGAACCTGACGTCGTCGAGTCGCTGGTCGACACGGTGATGGACGATGACGAGGAGATAGAGCGTGACACGAGTGCCGGAGAGCGTTGGATGTGCGCCGAGTGTACGATGATGAATCACCCGCTGCGCCTGCGTTGTCCGGCGTGTTACGCAGCCCGTCCGGATTACAACCCGGTGCGGGACTGTGCCGTGGTGGTCTCTGCCGCATCATCACAGCTATCAACAACAACATCATTAACAGCAACAGTAGCACAGCAGCAGCAGCATGAAGAGCAGCAATCGTATGACACACCGTCGCAGCAACGCTCTCTTGTGCAGTACACCTACCCGTCGCCGATCTCTCACGATGCCGTGCTGTGCAGCGACACGGAGGATGACGAGGCTGACGGACGGGATGGCAATGACCTAATGTCACTGCATACTCAATCGGTCAACACTCGTCCCCGTTCAAAGACGGATGACATGCGTAGTAGCATGGAGAATCAGGTACATGTACTTGAAAGTAGCCACAATGTAAGCACTATTGGCATGGAGCTGCCTCCTTGCACTGTTCACCATGCAACAACACAGGATGGAGACTTATCCCAGTCTGCACTGCATGACCCGATCAGTACGCATGAACAACACGGAAGATCGTCGTCCGACGGCCCAGCAGCAATGTCGCCAGATCCGGGCATTGCGTCATTGAGCCATGTGATGACATCATCATCGCCGGCATTACATTCACGTGATGATGTCATGGCAACACAGGATGAGGATACACACCGTGAACCCTACCCCAGCCAATCACTGGACAGCGGCTGCGGTAGTCAACCGTTGCAAACCGCACTGGAAACCGGCCTCGTAGATACCGGAGATGACATTGCATTTGAACACGTTCGAGGCTCTAGTGCCGATGAGAAAACGCGTCGTAGTCGTAAGCGTCGTCACTCCCATGACCACGAGAGCGGTGCCCATGGCGATGATGGCAATGGCGGCCGTGGCGTTGGTGATGAGGACAACGTGTGTATACTGTGCTGCGTGTCAGCACGCACTGGCTGTGTGGTGCACGGACGCACGGCGCACTGCGTCACCTGCTACCGCTGTGCCAAGAAACTCTGGTGCAACGGCCGACCGTGTCCCGTGTGCCGACGCAGCATCGACTGTGTTGTCGAGCTGCATCTTTGAAAGTGTGCAGTTGAGCTGCATCTTTGAAAGTGTGCAGTTGAGCTGCGTCTTTGACCTGCCATCGCTGTGCCATGAAGCTGTGCTACAAAGCCAGACGTTGCCCTGTGTGCCCTGTGTGCATGGTGTGTCAATGCACTAAATGACAGTCATTGTGTTGACTGTGGTGCTGAGCCGCATCTTTGAATGCATGAATGCGTGCATGGCGTGGATCTCCATGGCTTCGGTGCTGTCATCATGACTGTCATCTTTTTAGTTTATACGCACATGTTGAAATGGCTTCAGAGATATCACATGATCAGAGAGATGTCTATCACAATTATACTGTAGTACCATAATATGAATTTTATCATTGATCCTTTCCCTTGAGTCTGGGTGTACCCCCCCCCCCCCCCCCTTATGACTAATAAAATTAATGAGATTGCATTCATAAACCATGATTATGGCAAATACTAGCAGCATGCAGCTGTTCTTCTATTGGTCAGATGGTTTGAGATAGTATGATACTGCAGTCGGAAATAGAACAACGGTTTTGTTGGCTGCATTATGTATGCTGTACATCTGTAGCCAGCTATTTTCTTCTGGATGGTGAGGGATCCGGATAAGAGAGGTCTGACTGTATGACAGAGGAGATGTCCTACATACAGCAACACATGTCAGGGCCGGCGGAACCGGTCAGGCCATGGCCGGACCACTTTCCCCAGCTGGATGGTCCATGTGATTCGTGCAAAACCGGTGTAAAAAAATCCAGAGGTACATGACTCGACTGTACTGCCGACGTGTGATGTGCTTTGAAGTAGCTCAGGATTCCGTGACCGGCACTGTATGGCTTTAATGATATGGATAAAAAAAGTTGTGTTTGTGTTCTTTTACTATAATTTTCTGCATTTTCTGGAGCCTTAAGTGATGCCCAAATTCGCTCTATTTCACGTAAATTTTAAATATTTCTCCCGGGGGAGGTCCCCCGGACCACTCCCAAACTCATTCCTCTGGCCCTGCATGTGCAATGCCTTCAGTACGTTGATTGACTGACTGGTTTAGATATTTTTTAAAAGATGAAAATGCTGTATAGTGGGAGCTAGCTTATCGAGGGACTCTCCTGTGACAGAGTAAGAGCAAGAAAGAGTACATAACCCCCAGAGTGTGTAACGCCTGATCCAGCTCTGCATTGGGTCTTGGTCGAGCGTAATCGGATTTTTGCGTCATAATACCGTACACATCTGAGGGGAACCCGGGGAATCGCGGGTACTCTCGGATCAAAAACAACGGTGCCCAGCCTCGAGACCGGCCTTGCGCTGGTGTGGAGTGTACGCATGACATCAGAAAGATCCGATTACACTGTACCATGATTACGCTCGACCAAGAAGACCCTATGCATAGCTGGATCAGGTGTTGCACACTGTGGGGGGGGGGGGGGGGGGGGTAAATTATGTACTCATGGTAAGAGCATTGCAACTGTGTTGCTGCATGTAGATGTGTAGGACATCGATGTCCTCTGTCATACAATGTCATGGCTGCTTTCATTCGGGCGCTGGCTATTCTATGAGTGCAACATTGCAGATGGTGGTGCGGCAGGAGTATTACTCTTGTAGGACAGTAGATGGTGTTGTGGATGAGTGGGTAAAGAGTGTTGGCAAGTTATGAACGAAGCTAGGCCCAAAGAACACCATGCTGCCTCCCCGTTACACACCATTGGACGCCCATCGCCAGAGGCGATGATAGCGATGCTACAGCAGAAGCCATAGCAGCTTGTGCTGGGATTGCACCATTCAACAGCTTCACACACACACACACACACGCACACACACACGACAGTAAAGTCACTTGCGGTACACAACCAACCGGCAATGTTGTTGCAATAGCTCTCTTCAATCTTCTTCTTCTTCCTCACCACTGTTTCTACACCTACATGTAGACAAGCATGCACATGTCATGTTGTATACGCCACACATCGCGCGTGAAAACACAGCAGGTTAGCCAGGCAGGTACCAGCTCTGTTATTCACTCCACCAGTGCGCAAGGCAGTGTGTAGAGTAGTAAGTTTACTACTTAGAACTGTTGTTGCAGCAGCAGCAGCAGCAGTGACTGAAGAATAGTGTCTCTTCTCTCAACAACTCCACGTACACAATAGTCTTTATCTAGGTTAAATAGGGAGAGGTCAAGAAATCAGAATCACGCCACTCTAACATCCTGCCCACATTCAGCCACAACTCCTGGGCGCGAGGGACATCCGAGAGTCGGAACTGAAGAAAGTAGTTATGTACACGAGTTGGCGGGGGAGAGAGTGAGACCGAGAGAGATAGAGAGAGAGAGAGAGTGCGCGCGACTGACGACCGAACATCTCCAGCTCCTCAGCCCATATCCTCATCCTCTTCGTCATCTCCATCCGCGTCATCGTCCGCTCCCTCTGCTACGGCGTCGGAAAGCTGCTCAAAGGTGCCAGACGATGCCCAGACGCACAGCAAGTTGACTTTGAACATGGCCATCTGGTGGCCAAAGAGTTTCTGGTTACAACAAGAAACACATGTGCGCACACGTACACAATCAGAAAAAATGATCAGTATACGGACTTAACCCGTTTTCCCCAAAAATATCCGGATAGGCGAGGGAACCGGATAATCGAACACACATACTGTATGTATGCATGGCACATGCTGTAAATCGGTAACCAACGATTTTCGTCCGGACGGCGAGGGATCCGGATAAAAGAGGACCGGATAAGCGAGGTCTGACTGTAACTGTTACAATTAGTTACAGCATCCACAGGAACCACTCGTAGTAACCACGGTTACGACTATGTCACTGGATCACCTGCCAGGATGGGGGTGGGTGGGAGAGCTGGGGAAGGGCAGGGGAAAGGACAGAGGAGGGGAGAGGGGCAGGGAAGAGAGAGAAGAGGGGCAAAAGAAGGGAAGAAGAACAGGGCAAAGAGAGAGGAAAGAGAGAGAGAGAGAGAGAGAGAGAGAGAGAGAGAGAGAGAGAGAGAGAGAGAGAGAGAGAGAGAGAGAGAGAGAGAGAGAGAGAGAGAGAGAGAGAGAGAGAGAGAGAGAGAGAGAGAGCTACAGTCCATTCAGAAAAAGATGGGCTCTGGCGAGCTCCCGTATTTGGCGATTTTTCGTGATTTCATTGTACACAGTGCAGTGCTGCGAAATTTGAACTTTGAAAAAGAGTCCAAAAAGGGTACCTGAACTGGGGTTCGAACCCCACAATGCACTGTTGCAGGCAGGGTCAAACGGCCTGGATTTTGATGGTTTTTTCCAATTCAATGCTTCTGGGGCAAAACCTGGCCGATATCCTATTCTTGTTATGGCTTGCTTTTTGGACAAATAGACATCAGAAACATAATTGGAAGAGGATTCCATAGGGGATTGCAGAAAAAAATTCTAAAAAAACTCAAAGTTTGACCCATTTATGGCCAAAAGCTAGAAGTCCATCTTTTTCTGAATGGACTGTAGAGGCTTGCATTTCTTACCAAGATACGGCCCTGCTCCGGTGTGAGCGTGTCGCCTTTCTTGCATATTGTGTACTCAGAGAGTAGGGTTATCACTCCTGTACATACATACACACACGCATAAGGTTTGTGCACAAAATGAAAGGTCTCATGCATGCAATGTTACACACAACGGGAAGAGAGTCAAGAAAGCGCAGCGTAGCTGTGGCTCTGGGCATCACACAAACCGGTAAGTATGTAATCAAGCACGCTCGGGAGGTGATGATGGCTGAATCTTGCCCTCGCCTAGCGCCTGCAGACCGAGGGCCGTATTTGACAGACAGAGCGCTACATATGGCATAGAGTGTGCTTGATTCGATATCTTTCAACACGAAGCAAATATGTGTTAGGAACAGCCAAAGGCCGAAAGGCTGAATTATTCCCCAAAATGAATTCAATCATGCATGATGGCCTGATTGTGGCCGCAGCAGGAAGGTCGTTTCTTGGCCATAACATAGGCAATGATCGTGTGTCATGTGTGCACGAGCAGCAAGAGTACATAACCCCCAAGAATGTACAACTGCCTGTACCAGCTCTATACAGTGCTGCGACTAGGCAAAGCCGATTTTGCCAGCGAAACGTCGATATTTTTGCCGCAATATTTCGCTGGCTCGTCGTCAATATTTTGCTCCCTTTTTGCTCCAAGGCGAGGCCAAATTTGTGTCACGTGTGGGAAACCTTGTCGTTGGCAAAGATGAGAAAATATGAGCCACGTGTTTGCAAACATGAACCAAAATGAGTCACGTGCACCGTATAAGTGTGAAATCTCCCAATTTCCAGCCAACATACCAATATTTTGCTCCGTTTTGCCAGCAAATTCTATTGTCAAAATTCTTCGAGATTTTGCTAGCAGAATTGCTGGCAAAATCGGGCCATGTCTACAGTGGGGGTAGTACTCAGTCATGCATCACTTGCAGGATGGCAGGAGGCAAAGTGAAGGGGGTCACTAGGTTACTGGGGGCTAGCCAGGACAGCTCTGTACCTTTCTTGAGTGCTGTGGGTAGACCCAGCTGTCTGAACTGTGGTTCCATGGAGTGACTGAACTGATCAAGAGGTCCTACACACCAACAACACAAACACAACACACAACAAGACACACACATGCCATTATCATCGGAGAAACAACCAAGATCGTCTGAAGCATGCAACTCAGTTTTTTTTCAACCAGTTGTAAACAAATCTCTCTCTCTCTCTCTCTCTCTCTCTCTCTCTCTCTCTCTCTGTCTGTCTGTCTGTCTCTCTGCTGTGTGACAAGCAAGTAGAACAAGCCAATATCATGCAGAGTGGCCCCAATGCTAAAACTCCATATGTCATATAGCATTGGGCAACAAGAAGTGCCAAAGCACCTGGGACGAGTGGCAATTTTCGCACAAGTGGATAAAAGCTGTACATACATACAGAGCACACACACACGCACACGCGCACACACACACACACATGTACACACACACACACACACACGCACACACACACACACACACACACACACACACACCACTAGCACACCCCACGGACACGCCACGGCCACACACCATGAAATCCAGCATTCAGGCCCTATCAAAACTACTCACCTTCACACAACTCCACCGTTTCTGTAGCCACAAAGCCTGGCTTGGCTTCACTTCTGCCACTGAACGTCTGAAAGAACCTTCATAACACACACAGGCACGCACACAAGCACACACACACCTTGACCTTTGACGCCCATCGCCGGAGGCGATGATAGCAATGCTATGGCAGAAGCCATAGCAACTTGTGCTGGGATTGCACCATTCAACAGCTTGCAAGGTTGAAGAATTGACCGTCACTATTCAGCCTGGTCTACACCATACAGCTATTTGAAGTGAGTTTTTTTTGGCCAGTGAATCCCTTTTTTTGGTCTTTTTTTCTTTCTTTTTTGGTCTTTTTTTCTTTTCTTTTTTTTCCGCACACACATCTCACCACATACTCCGGCATGCACTGGCTGTTGGTAACCACCCAGGAGAATGAAAGAAAAGTCAGGAAGAGTCTGAGAAAGAGAAGAAAGACGTGTGTGACCATAATCGTCGGGAATCGAACCCGCAATCTATCGATTGGAAATCGCTGCACATACCACTGCACCATATGGGACACACACACACGCACACACGCACACATGTACACACACACACACACACACACACACACACACACACACACACACACACACACACACACACACACACACACGTACGCAAGCAGACACACATACACACACATACACATGCAAACACACACAGGCACACCTCAGTTCCTCTCAGCCGCGTACTGACCAGCCTAACCTGACTTCCGGACAGCCATTCGTCAGGCAGATTTACTCCAGTAGCAACACACAAAGAGAAAAAATAGCAGGTGTTCCATGAGGCTTCTTCCTGCGAGGGTCTACCACCACAGTATGTGTACACTCTATATTACATTGCCCGCTACTTTTCGTACTTTGAGCACTCTGGCGCTAGAGCAACGAGCTTTCTTAAAATGTCTGAGGGGGCCTCCTTTGCACCATGGCTGGTAGCTCGGCCTATTTAGCTCGTAGCTGTACTGATGAGGCCTCTATGGCCGAAACAGCTTGCTGTCTACAGCATGGGGAACTCTACATTACATGTATCACAATGAGGCGTACATTTCACCTGGGCTGGTGCAGAGTGGTTACTACATGATACATTTCACCTGAGCTGGTGCAGAGTGGTTACTACATGCGCAGTACTGTGAAACATCCGCTTAAAAAGAACACTGATACTTGTATTAAAACTGGTTCAGGAATTTCGGAGTCCTTATTTTTTTATATTTTTTTTACAAAGACCACTTAAATGCCAAACATGAGATGCAGCTAGGGGAAGCACGCACAACCTGAATCGTATTGCTGATGATGATGGTGAAGAATAGCTTGAGATTTGTAGTTTTTCTGTCCCTGATAAGCTTGCTGTCTCCAAGAAAGTTATTTAACTGATATTTAAAGACGAACTTTTGTTCTAGAAGAAGTGGTATTCCATTGGATAAATTACAGTGTATTTCACTGGGTGTAAAAAGAGGATAAGAACTCTCATCATTGCGAACAAACACCATTGGTCCGTTGTTGTTCATCCTGAAGAGACTCGACTGTGTATTAACTTACGACACGACTTCGTCGCGCTCCTTGTTTGTAAAGAGAAGACCGACGTTGCCCCGTAGTTTCTACACAACACCAGCGTGGGGAGGCAGAAGAAGAGACACACAATGTCACGAGAATAAACGCTGGGAACGGTGTTGCAAACAGGACTCAGGGCTGCTGTATTAAAAACACATTATGTTCCGTATCAGCTTAAGGCACTCAAGGATGCACTGTGTGTGAAGGAAATGCTGGTCAACTATTATATTAATATTATTAACCTTTTGAGCACGACGCTACCTGAATGCCGCCCCACGTCAACACCTGCAAAAATCGCGTTTTTCCTATGAAAGTAGTAGCTGTTCAAGGATCGATAACGTTACCTTTCTTTGGACGAATTCCACGATCTTGAGCTTCCTGCAAAGGTCTTGAGGCGAGGAACAAAATAGTTCCAAGCTCAGCTCGGAGCGACACCAAAAGCCCATGCTACAGTCTGGCAAACTTCACGCACGCGCTCGACTTGAGCACGGCCAGGGGATCAAATCCTCAGCTGCCATTTCACTCTCCTTGCTCGTATCGAGCTCAAATTTTTTTGAGGACTCCCCAGATCCGCTGCCATCATTTGAATCTAGTTTCCATGGCAGCAGATAGCGCGAAAATGATCGAAAATGGAAAATACGCGTTCTGCAGAGTTCGCAAAAAAATCGATTTGAATTTGCCGTGTCGAGTTGCATATCTCAACAACCCGGGGTCGTATCGCTTCGGCGATTGTTTCTATCGCAAGCTGAGAGTTTTCTCTTGCAGATACATATTTCGATCGTGAGAATCGGCCAAGAATTGACCGAGTTACGATAGTTTGAACTCACGCGGTTCATGCAAATCGCGTTTGTACGCTATGTACACTCACGACGTAATAATACGTCATGCGTGGGTGCAGTGACACTGTACGTGACGTATTAATACGTCATGCGTGCTCAAAGGGTTAAAGTCTACATTACACCTGAAAACCGTCATTTCCCCGACACCGGCATTTTAGTACGCCTAAAATGATACAGTGTAGCCAGCATGCAGGTATAGAGAGCTGCGTGGGAACGTCTGTGCTGCATATAGTCCATCGGCCAAATCTCAGAAAGGGCCTCTTTCGGCGAAGGTGATGCACTGAAGCTCCAACTAAACGCCCTTTGGCACACTAGCTCATGAGACCCCATAGAATACGAATCCGTTTGTTGGACGTTGCCAATCCAGTCCAGGATAGTCGAACTGGGTCGAATACCTTCTTCCGATTTTCGTAATTTCGTCCACCATTACATCTTTCTCATCGACTTTTTTTCGCTTGGCGAATGTTCTTGAGCCGCTGAGCAGAATCTACGCACGCTCGAACACTTGAAATGCCTGCATGTTGACGGTTCGCAAGATTCTAGCGAGCTTGGTGGAAATCTATTATTTATTTTGACATTTTTGGGGGAATCTGAATTAGAACGGTAGAAGCTCATTCGGAGAAGACGGCGTGTCGCCGCTGTCGGATTGTCGCTACTGTGTTTCAGACGTATTTGCTTGAACGTGCTATTGAGGATGGACAGAAGATGAGGTGACGGCTTTCTTGAACACGGACGTTTTGTCTACATTGAAGCTGAAACATCTCATCTGGCGTCTAGAACGCAATTATTATGAGTTGTGAGTGCCAGCTGAGCTGAACACAAGCTGGACACCATTCGTCAGCTGGGAATTTGCATCGAAGCTCTTGATAGCCACGATACGCATAATTATACAGAGGTAACCTTGTTTGACTCAATACGCATGCAGGTGATACCACTAGTGGCACTACAATGTAAATGGTGCAAAATTGATGCAACAGCGAATATGTACTTCGTACAATCACGAACAATTGTAAGGCAAGTGTTCATGCCTGTCATAGAAGAATTTCAGCCCGGAAGTCTTGTTGTCATGGTCATAAATAATACAGGACTTGAGTTGGCTCTGGACATATGTGAGACTCAATTGCATCCACAAGGCCGTAGATGCATCATGTAAGCACACAATGCTGTACAGTATAAGTAGTAGTCGACATGTGGTGCCTTCCTGCTGCACATGCACATGCGGCAAGTTGGCAACGACACATGACCTATCTGCACCGCACAGCGTGAGCTTAGAATGGAATATTGCAGACATAGTGCTATTTGTGTTCCGATATCATTAAGCCGGTATACATGTACTACTAGTATCCTTATACATGTACCTGGTCACTCGATAGGCGATGCCGACTGTACTAATCTTATCCATATTACCCGATAGGCTACTAGTATAGCACACTGCGTCAGATCACTATGCAACAAAACAATTAAGAGCTTTGGAGCGAATATACACTGAAGCAAAGTAGGTTTCAACGGTACAGCACTAGTCACGATGAGGGGAGTTATGAGGATGGTTAGGCCGTGACACATAGATGATGATTGTTAATGATTCATGCACAGTGGAAAATTACCACCAATGGCGATGATATTGCTTTCACAACAATGACATCAGTAGGAGCAGTGACACAACCTTACTGCTCCAAGTAGGATTTACAAGCGAGTGAAGGGAGAGCAGACCGGGTCTAAGCAAGGAAGTAATCGGCATCAGAGGTGAGCTTGCACATCAGAAAACAGATGATGATCACCAAACACAGAGAAATTGGCTATGTGTATGTTTGTGTCGCTGTGTGCGTTTGTGTGTATGCGTGCACATCTGTGTGTGAGAGAGAGAGGCAGACAGACAGATAGCATATGGTGGGAGAGATCAAGGTCTGACCTCAGAGTTAAATGCTGACGGTGTGGAATAGCAACAGTGCGAAATCGGGCAGGGTGGGTAATGGCCCACACTGGAGCCGAGTAAGAGCGCCAGTGGTTGAGGGCTAGCACAGGAGTAGCAGCAGCTCCAGCCTAGGAAGATCAGCTTCTGGATGAAAATCTCCCGGACACAGTAGGTACCAAGCTTCACTAGCAGATTGCCGACAGGGGTGCACGGCGAGCACCCGTACATCCCTCAAGCCACCAGAGCCGCAGTACTTGGACACGATCCAGGTGCTTACCCGCCAACAATGCTGAGAAGGCACTGGAGCCATACAGGAACTTATGATCGAGCATGACCACAGACTTGAAATACAGGGTCCGGCGTTGAATACTGAGACAGCGAGGTCTCCTCCACAGAACACCACTCAGCCCCACCATTGCATTATTTTCGCTTTTTCATGATTTTTACAATTGTGTTAGAGCACACAGCACTCGATGCAACATTTACCAGTGACTAAATAACTCCGCGTCTCCGACCATAACTGCAGCGTTCCCGTGAGCCTGTTGGATTTCCGTCAGCCTGTTGAGATTATCTTCATCTCGTCACATGTGAGCCTGTGTGTTTCATCCGTATCGTGGCACAATGACACAGACACGATTTCCAACTCAGGCCGGTTCCGTTGCTCGAAGGGTTGGCGGTAAGGATTGCTACGCCGTCTGTGGCTGCATGGGAACTTGGCGAGTCGTCGTCTTTCTCCATAAATCCTGATCGTCACGCGAACAACAGCCACTATTGCCTAAAAACTACGACACAACAGTATCAAGCTCGCCCCAGCAGAAGGACACGAATGACGAGCGCTAAGACGGAGAAAGAGAGACAGGGTTAGCGAGAGCTGACTAGTACTATAGTGCAGGTACGCTGTCATCTCCTGAGGTGGTGGGCGAAGTGAAACGAAGGAAGATAGAACTTATTAGAAGGCATACGGAGGCACCAAAACCTATTGCCTGTCACATACTAAGTGCCATTTAGGGTTGACAGCTGTCAGCTGACAGCCTCAAAAATTTGAAAATCTGCTCAAAAAACTCTCGATCAGAACTCTGCGCACTCTCAAATGGAGCGCACAGTAAAAAACTCGGCGACGAAGAACGCTTCGTATCGACGCCCTGGACTGAATTCGGCACGTCCAACAAACGGAATAGTGTTCTCTGATATATTCTCTACGTGCTGGGTATGGTCGCGTTTAGTTGGAAGCTCAGTGCATCACCACTTTCGATTTTGAGACTTGGCCGATGGACTAATAGCCCTACACTCAGACGTCTCTTATCCGGGCACCTTGGGACCGGGCACTGCCCGTATCTCAGATTTGCCCGTATCTCAGGGTAACTCATCTACCATGTATCACATCATTTTGTTGAAGAAGTTTATTTGGTGCATATTGCACATGTTCAGGATGCAAAAGAATCCATTGATAAAAGTGTGGTGATGACACAGGTTGGCAGTGACAAACAAGCACATGCGCATACAAAAAAAAGTTCAAACCCCCCAATTTCGAAGCATTTTTGACATAGGAACTCAAGCTGAAAGTGCCCGGTAGAGAGAAGTGCCCGTATCTGAGGCGTCCGGATAAGAGATGTTTGAGTGTACACATCTGTGCGTTTCTCCCACATAACGTGTTGTACCGGTACACAGAACAGCAAGACATCGTTGAGCCGCTCACCCTCGCTAATCTGTGAAGCTCTGGCTGGTGTTCATCGGATGGTGACTTGCCCATTGCTGATGCCATTACCTTGTTCTTGCCAAAGAAGAATCTAAACACACACAAATACACACACGCAAACACGCACGCGCACACACACACACACACACACACAGGAAGTGAGGCGACATGATTATTCCAATTGTTGGGAGCATTCGCCTCATCTCCTCCATGTTTTGAGCGAAGAGTTACACAGCATATACAAAACAATTGACAACAAAGCAAAAAAAGTACAGTGCAAAACAGCCTGGAGAAAACCTTGCCCACACAAATCTCTTCAGTTCTTCCAGAAGCTGGTCATGTGGGTCTCCACTTTGGGCAAGGAGAGGAAAGGATTCAATAGGAATACACGCCCGCCCCCTCCCCCACACCATGTACCACGTATACGCCCGCCGCAAGAGAAGCACGCAAATCTGCAACTGCACTTGACCACCACAGCCACCTCAGACCTCAGACATGCGCATCGCGGATGTGATGATAGTGAACAGCTATGTTAAACATAGCAACTTGTGCTGGGATTACACCATTCAGCAGCTTGCAAGGCCGATGAATTGACCGCCACTCATTTTAGCCTGGTCTACACCACACGGCTGGTTGAAGTGGCCTTTTCTGGCCAGTGAATCTCAATTTTCATTTTTTTCATTCTTTCTTCATTTTTTGACACACACACACACACACAGCACATCACATACTCCGGCATGCACTGGCTGTTGGTAACCACCCAGGAGAATGAAAGAAGAGCTAGGAGAATGAGAAAGAGAAGAAAGACGTGCGTGACCATAATCGTCGGGAATTTAACCCGCAACCTCTCGATTGGAAATCGACTGCACATACACACATACACACACACCCACACATGGACACACACTCACGTTTACACACTTACGTTTTCATATGCACACACACCATGTACCGTGTACCGTGTATACGCCTGTCACTTTGATAGAAGCAGACACTAGATGCACTGGCACCTTGAAGTGAAATTAGAGTTACTTTACCAACCAGCCTCGGCTACTGAGTACTGGGAACCCAGAGCCGACAGACATACCAACACCCTCAGCCATGAAAGCCACTATAGTAACGACACACTGGATTGTGGAGCCGAAACTTGCCTAACTTCCAACCCCCCCCCCCCCCCCCACACACACACAGGTACACACCTGCTATGCTGTTTCCAGTTGGAGCGCAGTTCCTTCAGAATGTTATTACGCATGTTCTCAACGGAGAAAACAAACGCATATGCGTAGTCATCCGCACATGTTTTTATCTAAACGAAAGACCAGGAGGGAAAACGAACGAGAGAGAAAAACAAGGGTGAAAATAGACTTTTCAGAAGGCTTGTTAGTACATAGTGGATAGACAACGCGTGTGTGTGTGTGTGTGTGTGTGTGTGTGTGTGTGTGTGTGTGTGAGAGAGAGAGAGAGAGAGAGAGAGAGAGAGAGAGAGAGAGAGAGAGAGAGAGAGAGAGAGAGAGAGAGAGAGAGAGAGAGAGAGAGAGAGAGAGAGAGAGAGAGAGAGAGAACATATACGTATGCATGTGAATGTGTAAGTGCAAGGGTGCGCACACCAGAAAGTTTTTGCGTGTGCGTGCGTGCGTGCGCGTGCGTGTGTGTGTGTGGTGTGTGAATTCAGGACCGTGCTTGTGCAGCAATATCTATGTACAACATACTCAGACACATATTGGTATGGTCTAAGGGCATGTTGGGAGCTGCATACTGCCCTGGAGAACCCTTACAAGAATCATATGCTCGCTGTGGATGCACGCGAACACTGGAAACCAAGGAAACGTTAATCAAAGCTGAGTCAAGAAATATCAGAAATATTACACATCTCAGTATCGTGATCACAATCCAAACATCTTGGCTTCTCTTGAACTGCTCCGTTGCCCAGCGTCCTACTCACATGGACTGACCACGCAGCTAATGAACTACATGTAGATGCTAACATCGTTATCATCAGTGCAGTGGAAGACCATGAATAGTGTACCATGTACCACTCAATAAAATCAATAAACTATTTTGGAGGACGTACTTCATCATGAAGCTTCTTCTTCAGCTCGAAACCTTTACTGCGCGTCTTCGTCAGGGCAACTGTGAACAGTGAATTACAGGAAGCATGAACATAACGCAACGCAGTGAAACAAGCAGAAGATCGACCGTGAAGAATGTCGACAAATTTGACAAAAGAGAAAATCTGCACTCTCTGAGAAACTGCACATACCGACTTTATTTCTCTTCGATTTGGGCATCGTGAACAACGAAGGGAACGGCGACGGCTCTCCACAAAGATCTACTCGGGCACCGTTTGCTTCCAATGCTCTATCGGCTTTCAATAGCTCGAGCTCATTCGTGACAATAAAGAAGCTAAAATTTGTTTGATAGGCAAGGAACGCTGAAGTTTGAATCCCCACAATCACAATAGAACTTTTGTAGAAGTCCAGAAAAGTAAAAGCGTGGTCCGAAACCCCCCGATCTCGCAAAGTTTGAGCAGCTCTCGGCTTGGGATTGCTCAGAAACTCATTTTGGATTGTATGCGCCTGCTCAGAGGGATCTCAGAAAAAGTAAAAAGTTGCCATGGAGATAGATAGATGAAAAAAAGAAAAAAGAAAAAAAAGATAGATAGGTACGCGTGTTTTTTCTCAGGAAGTCGTATATATTTTTTTCTTTTTCTTTTTTTTCCCCCGATGCAATTATTAATTTTGAATCCTGAGAATACGATGAAAGTAGGGAATGATTCAAGACACTTTCCAAAGTGGGATCATTCCCATTTTTTGACACAACGGGCATGAAGGATAGCTCTTCCACTTGCAACAATTCATTTGGACGCAGCTTGCCTAGAAGTGGCTGAAAAAACGTCATTTTACAACCAAAGAAAGCCAAATCACCTCGTACTACACGTAGATCTACGTACACATTATGTACAATCATACATGGTAGTACATCTACCACGTGAACGTCTAGACCTGACTTGTGAAAAAAACTTGTTTTGCTCTTGACTACAAATTTGTAGCTAGCTGGATGAATTAAAATTAATATTTTGTGTGTTTCGGGTTTCATGGCTATGATTATGGGGATACAATGTAAACCAATAATAGATGTGTCTTTCACAGGCAAAGGCCCAACCACATGTACAACGGAGGATTCATTGCACACTAGCAAAATTCTGGGATTGATAGCTTACCGCGTACCGGATAGCTTACTGGACCTTATCAATATCATGACAGTTTCAACTTTCAACTTTCAACCCGGAATATTTGAGAGAGAAAACGGTTCCGTTTTCGATAAGCACTTTATCACGTGACTGTCATTCAAGCTCCCTGCACTGAAAGAACAAGCAACAGTCTACACTCTAGCTCTATAGAGCCATGGCAAGGCTCAGGCCTACACATAGCCAGTAGCTGCATCATCGGCACACCATAAGAAAAATAATTACCAGTACAGTTCCAGATGCTGCAAGACTGCACAGCATCACACGCAAGCACACATACACAAACGCACACACCGACGCAGTAAGCTTCAAGCAGGCATAGGGGCATACTGTGACACAGCACACGATCATCAGACTCTGCACTGGTTTAATTTTTGGTTAAAATCCATTTTAAAAGTATCATAAAAATGATGCTTAAACGGGTACGGCTCACTACATGCATATGCATACAACACAAGGACAAGGCGATCCTGAGTCTTGACAGTCACGCAAAGCCATTGCAGACCAGCACACACGCGTGTGTACTACACTAATAGTCATATACTATGCAGGCGTCAGCGGAACCACGCCGAGCGGCCGAGCGGCGGCGTGCATGCATCAGCAACAACATGAAAACGACGGCGTCGATTCAACGGGCGAAAAGCCACAAGGGGAAACGTCCCAGAAAGCATCTCCCAGTGCCGACAAACACGGGCAGCAGAGAACATGGAAATGCTCAGCGAAAATACACAAAAATTGTCAAGCAGCCATGACAAGTCAATGGCCGAAAGGCTGGGTTAGGAAAACGAGTCGAAAACTGACTCTGTGCTTAGAAAAGCGAATTGAAAACTGAAAATGTGGCTAGGAAAACGAGACGAAACTGAAAACACTTTTTTTATAATAGGACGGTGAGTAGAGAGTTGGAAATACGTTTACGCAGCTAAAGCGCGTGATTGATTCACTGTACAGAGCAGGGAAACGCCATTCATCAAAACAATTACGAGACTCGCAGCATGGATAAAACATGGATAAAAATGACACTGTGCGAGGGTGGGGGGGGGGGGGGTTATCGTGCAAAATACGGTAAAAGCATTGATCAAGACGGGTAGGCAGCAAGACACTGATGCGACCCAGCGCATGGCAAGTAGTACAAGACATGTTGATGACAAACTACAAATTTTAGCAGCCCACAACCTACTCAGAAACACACACACACACACACACACACACACGCGCGCGCGCGCGCGCACACACACACACACAGTGTACATTGAACATAAACAGTGGCTTCACTAATACATGCTGCACACGGATCGGCGAGAGAATCAAGCTCAAGGGACTGGACAAGACTCTTGATTGCCAGTACGATTGACGCTATTTACCAAACATACGGCGGGCCAGAGACAGATATCAACAGGTTTGCAGCAGCGAGCAGGCAGACGCAATGTAGAGCGCAGCGACGGCATGCTGATTTCTAACGAGAGCAAGCGTGTACGCTTGCATAGTCCGGCGTACAGTGATAGAGACGCCTGCACGGTGGAGACGCTGGCGTCTCCTTTTTTCCAGCACAATGATAAAGGGATTGTGTACGTGGCACCAGCCATGCTATCATCTAGGCCAGTTCTCACAGGCACCGTCCGACATGCCGGCACATTACCAACACCACCGAATACCCACTGGTTGTATCTGTTACACCGCCGTGGATGAGTGCAACACCAAGTGACAGCACTTCACTGTACATAGGTGCACCACGCACGGCATGTATAGGTACCGGGCAGGATTGGGGCCCAGCTCTCCAGCTCCCTCAGCAGCAGTAACAGCAACCGCTGCAGTAGGTGGGCAGGCTGCACGGACATGACTGCTACTGCAGTTTATGGAAGAGAATGCTGAGATTAGCGCTTCTTCTTTTTCTTCTGAGACTTTTGCTGCGTGTTCACCGCAGCTGTGACAACAGATCGCTCCACCTGAAGAATAGACGAGGGAGAGAGAGAGAGAGAGAGAGAGAGAGAGAGAGAGAGAGAGAGAGAGAGAGAGAGAGAGAGAGAGAGAGAGAGAGAGAGAGAGAGAGAGAGAGAGAGAGAGAGAGAGAGAGAGAGAGAGAGAGAGAGAGAGAGAGAGAGAGAGAGAGAGAGAGAGAGAGAGAGGGAGAGAGGGAGGAGGGAGGGAGGGAGGGAGGAGGGAGGGAGGGAGGAGGAGGGAGGAGGGAGGGAGGGAGGGAGGGAGAGAGGAGGGAGGGAGGGAGGGAGGGAGAGAAGAGGGAGGGAGAGAGGAGGGAGGGAGGGAGGGAGGGAGAGAGAGAGAGAGAGAGAGAGAGAGAGAGAGAGAGAGAGAGAGAGAGAGAGAGAGAGAGAGAGAGAGAGAGAGGGAGAGAGAGAGAGAGAGAGAGAGAGAGAGAGAGACGGAGACAGAGACCGAGAGAAACCAATAATTCAAATTGCAATCCAAATACAAATTCGGATACGTGAGACTCGGCTACACTGATTTTCCGCATCTGCATCCACATACCAACACCCTCAAGGATCAAGGAGTTGGATGAAAAGAACACATAACATGATTCCATTTACGTGAGAAATGAGACGAAATAGATATGTGACGTGCAACATTCCGACTCTTGTCTTCTGAGCACGCCCTACGCTAGGGCTGCAACGGGTAGGGGTTTGGCCGGGTAATGAGTTCGGGTATTTCTATCCGGTCAGCACGGGTACCCCATCGGGTATTTTTGGACATCTTATTTGTACAGTGAGTGTGCAGTTGTGCTACATAGAAACTGTACAGTAAGCACATAGTCGTGCTTTTTACATGCACCCTTGGGAAAATACCGTACTCAAACTACCCTATCTGGTTCTCAGGAGCAAACTGCTACGCGAATACCCGTTCTAATTACGGGTAGCACGGTTACCCTACTCTACTCGATGACATCCTTTAATCTACGCTAACTAACCAACTCCGGGTCCGATGGCGTCCGTGAAAGGAAGTCCAGAAGCTCGTTGTTTGGAATGAAGTTGGGTTTACGCAGGCGTTTAGTGAACTTGTTGATGCCTGAACGTAACAACCCAGACAAACAAAAGAAGAAGAAAACAAAGCAAGAGATACTTGTACCGCAGTGACGCACATAAAGGCCCATGCGCTTATGAGTGAGTTTTTTTGCGTTATTTGCTATTTTTGCGGGTTGTTTTGCCCCACACATAGGGGCATGCGCTTGAGTTGCCAGTGTACCGGTTCCATGCATAATTATGCACACAGTGCAATACCGCAATGCACATTGAACGATGTGAATATGGCGTTTTTGTGGTGTCTGTTTGTCGAGGGATGGGCTGCATTTAGGTTCACTTATAAGCCCATGCACCTATTTGTGAGGGTGCGCTTATGCCCGGGTATAGGCACATGCTCTTATACGCGCGTCACTACGCTACACTCGCGCGTCACTACGCTACACTGGAACTCGTTTAGTCTGCACAATACTGTAAGAGTTGAATCACTAACGGGGCACACCGTCTAACGTTTTAACGCGAAAAAATCCTTCGCTAGCTCAAGAAACGTTAGACGTATGTTATTCCTTCTCTCCTCTGTACTAGAGAAATAGAAGACAGGTGCGTGATGGCTGGGTCGGTAAACTGTGTGCCCGCCAAGCAGGATATTATCGCAAATCGTCACACTTTCAACTCTTACAGTACTCTTGATAAGATGCACACTGTGCTCATGCCGAGTCTTGGAAGTAGTTAGCCCTGTAGCAATGGTTACACCAGAAGCAATGGGCAGGCTGGCAGTATGCACACGTTGCTCATGCCGAGTCTCAGAAGTACAGTGTAACCTGTCTAAGACGACCGCTCAAGGGACCTTCAACACGTGGTCTCTGCCACCAGGTGGTCGCCTTATCCAGGGCCATTTGACTGGAAATAGCATCCCTTGGTCCTGGTTTCAGTGGTCTTTTAGGACAGGTGGTCGCCTTATCCGAGTGGTCGTCTTGACAGGTTTTACTGTAGTTTGCCCGGGAGCAATGGGCAGGCTGACAGTACGTACACAGCGGGAGCAATGGGCAGGCTGACAGTATGTACACAGCGGGAGCAATGGGCAGGCTGAAAGTATGTACACAGCGGGAGCAATGGGCAGGCTGACAGTATGTACACAGCGGGAGCAATGGGCAGGCTGACAGTATGTACACAGTGGGAGCAATGGGCAGGCTGACAGTATGTACACAGCGGGAGCAATGGGCAGGCTGACAGTATGTACACAGTGGGAGCAATGGGCAGGCTGACAGTATGTACACAGTGGGAGCAATGGGCAGGCTGACAGTATGTACACAGTGGGAGCAATGGGCAGGCTGACAGTATGTACACAGCGGGAGCAATGGGCAGGCTGACAGTATGTACACAGCAGGAGCAATGGGCAGGCTGACAGTATGTACACAGTGGGAGCAATGGGCAGGCTGACAGTATGTACACAGTGGGAGCAATGGGCAGGCTGACAGTATGTACACAGGGGGAGCAATGGGCAGGCTGACAGTATGTACACAGCAGGAGCAATGGGCAGGCTGACAGTATGTACACAGCGGGAGCAATGGGCAGGCTGACAGTATGTACACAGTGGGAGCAATGGGCAGGCTGACAGTATGTACACAGTGGGAGCAATGGGCAGGCTGACAGTATGTACACAGTGGGAGCAATGGGCAGGCTGACAGTATGTACACAGTGGGAGCAATGGGCGGGCTGACAGTATGTACACAGCGGGAGCAATGGGCAGGCTGACAGTATGTACACAGTGGTGGTACACGGCCGTACGCAAAACCAGAGAATCAATGCACAAACAACAAGTGACCTTCACGCTTTGCTGGCACGTCTGGCGAAGGTACGTACAGTACTTGCAACGATTCGCTTCACATCCGCAGCACTCATACGAAACAATCCAGGGGTCGGATTTCACTCGCCACCACGGTACAATGAAGTACAGTCAGACCTTGCTTATGTGGTTCTCTTTTATCCGGATCCCTCGCCATCTGGAAGAAAATCGTTGGTTACAGATTTACACCATATGTCACGCATACATACAGTATGTGTGTTCGATTATCCGGTTCTCTCGCCTATCCGGATATTTTTTTGTGGAAAACAGATGTGTGCGGTTAAGCGAGGTCTGACTGTAGCTTGATGATGCCATGGTCCTACTCTACCCTCACTTACCCCATAACAGTACACGATATCGCAGTGGAATCACACACACACACACACACACACACACACACACACACACACACACACACACACACACACACACACACACACACACACACACACACACACACACACACACACACACACACACACACACACACACACACACACACACACACACACACACACACACACACACACACACACACACACACACACACACACACACACACACACACACACACACACACACACACACACACACACACACACACACACACACACACACACACACACACACACACACACACACACACACACACACACACACACACACACACACACACACACACACACACACACACACACACACACACACACACACACACACACACACACACACACACACACACACACACACACACACACACACACACACACACACACACACACACACACACACACACACACACACACACACACACACACACACACACACACACACACACACACACACACACACACACACACACACACACACACACACACACACACACACACACACACACACACACACACACACACACACACACACACACACACACACACACACACACACACACACACACACACACACACACACACACACACACACACACACACACACACACACACACACACACACACACACACACACACACACACACACACACACACACACACACACACACACACACACACACACACACACACACACACACACACACAGACACACACACACACACACACACACACTTACCCCAAAGTAGCACAAGATATCGCAGCGGGATCAGATAGGTGACAACCATCGCAATGGTTAGCACGGCCATTGCCAGCCACGACTGGAACGGTATCGTCCAGTTCACAGTGCTGCGCACACACACAGGTAAGCGTCGACACACGCCCATGCACACACATACACGGCACGTACGCACACACGCACGCAGAGGAACACGGGTGTCAGAATGGAATACATGGATACTATCCACCACTGTAACTAGATACTTTATAGTATAATACAGTTAGAAAGTGCAACAACTAGATACAAAACTGACAGCGTACTGAGACATTCGACGTCCTGACACCTAGCTCCAACACATCTCCGTAGCGCTAACCGACAGCCTTCCAACTCGGAAGGTTCAAGGTTAAGGTGGATAGTGGTGGACGGTTACTCTGAACTCGTATCCATATGTTCTTTTCCCTTCTCATTAAATTATTGGCTCAACATCCGAGTTTTAGAATGGAATAGTATAATACACTCAGTTTTGCAAATAATGACCTTAGGTAAAACAACAACTCACGAATAACGGCACAATCTTCAGACCAAGTGATCATTTTAAAAGACATACTTTCGCCTTCACGAACAATGACAACTCGCGAAAAACGACACTTTTCCCATCCACGATCCAGGGTTGACTGTAGCTCTGGGGAAAAGCTCGACAACCAAAATAGTCAACAGAACATTATCGAACACACGGTGCCCGAGACTCCAGCTTACTTTTTCACCCGTTCTCCCAAACCAGCGACCATATCCAAGCCGTTCTGCACCGTCAGACATATGTTATACAGATCTTGTAAGCGCTGCCGCAAACCTTTCTTGTCCTGAATCTGAAAAATTGGAACGTGCATGTGTGCACGTGGCAAGAACAACGGACGTAATAACACACACACGCACGCACGCACACACATACACACAGATATGTAGACAGAGTACACACAAGCAAAGACACGCACACACGTACAGGCACAGCTAAGCAGATGTACGCAAAACACACAGAGAACAAACAGACAGACGTACGCGGCAAATGAGCCATCTCGAAAAGTACTATCGGTATTTTCAAAGTCCTACGGCACAGCGTACAGCAACAGCCGCGCTAGCAGCAGCACCAGCAACAGGAGCAACCGCACCAGCAACAGCAGCAACAGCAGCAGCAGCAGCAGCAGCAGCAACGGCAACAGCAGCAGCAGCAGCATTAGCAACAGCAGCATCAACAGCAGCATTAGCAACAGCAGCAGCAGCAGCAGCAACAGCAAGGTCAAAAGCTGCAAAAGGACAAGAAAGCAGCTTGGAGCAAGCCCAGCAACAGTAGTGAGCACACAGCCGCACTTGCAATACGTACTCATGAGCCGACGTTGTGTAGAGCAGAGCAGACGAACGCCACAGTGACATGCAAATATCCATAGATACATGCAGATTATACACGGCCACGGGACCGGCATACAGCCATGCAGCCATGCAACATGCAGCCATGGGACATGCAGCCATGCAACATGCAGCCATGGGACATGTTCGCATACAGGTATGCACAAGCCGGTGGAGGGCGGGCATGCAATATATGCATCAGACGGATATGGGCACGTGAACACACGGACGTGTACAGAGGAATCGTCCGGTAGATAACGGATAGCCGAGGCAGGTACATTCCAACAGACAGACAGACAAACAAGCAGACGTGCATGGCAGAGTACAACAAGCAAGCAAACAATATGCCACCGTCATGAAATCACCCATTCACAATACACCACCGACATGGAATCACCACCAACATGGAACCACCCATTCATAATACATCACCGGCACGGAATCACCCATTCACCATTCACACGTGTCTGGCTGTGCACTCCACGCAACTGCAGACATTTTCACACCCCACCCCTCACATCATTACGCGGACTTGTGTACACACACGAAAGAGGTGATTATTTTTCTCTCTCACATTGGTATCACCAAGCTAGCTTGAAAGAGGCTATGTCACCGCCACCCACACTCCACCGCTCACACCATTGCACAGACTTGTGTTCATACATAAAAGCGGCTACTGGCATGTGTACCTCAGTTCCTGCAAGCTCAGTGACTGACAATGTAGCAATCATAGTCCCCAACAGTCCCACTCAGAAAAACCAAGCTACAGTCAGACCTCGCGTAACCGCACGCATCCGTTTCCAGAAAATATCCGGATAGGCGAGGGAACCGGACAATCGAACACACATACTGTATGTGTGCATGGCATATGCTGTAAATCGGTAACCAACGATTTTCTTCCGGATGGCGAGGGATGCGGATAAACGAGGACTGGATAAGCGAGGTCTGACTGACTGTACTCCAAAGACGCTCAGCTACAGTACCGTTGGGTGGCAAAGAACAGCATGGCCGGGTGGGGATCAGCGTCGTAACCTAGGCCATTCTGATTCTTCTTGCACTGCAGTCTACGTGCATTTGTGTCACCGTGTATATATTCGTATGCTGTGCTTGGTGAACTCCCAGCATGTTCATTCTTTGGTGCCAACAGACATAGTACTGTAAAATCCAGACAACAGAAGCTACAGAAAGGCAAATAGCAACCACTGACACGTGAGCATGTAATGTCAGTGTAATATCAGCGAGCGTGTACTGTCAGTGACCAGTGACACATGAGCATGTACTGTCGTGGACATGGAAATCCAGTCGAATGATGCGGGGCCGGCGCCCTTAGTGTGTACAGAACGTCGTTGCATGCACAGTGCACGTGTTGATCGCACGCGTACTCACGGCTGCATGGCCAGCGCCGCACTGGGGCCGCTTGACCTCCAACAACCGGATTTCCATGTCCACGACAGTAACATGATGTACAGGTAAGAGTGTAAATCCAGGCAAGATAGCAGCTGCACAGCCAACTCACAACATGATCCTCGTCGTCATCACTAGATACCGTCTGTGTACGCACATGGGCAAAGGAAACAAAACAGATTTAGATCACAATGATAACACCTCTATAAGAATAACTCATGGTGTAAGACTCAGAGTACAAAAAAGGATGCAATAAGTAGAGGATGAATAATTCGTTGTAACTCCCATCTCTGAATACAGTAGGACTCTTCAAGACATGTTGACTCCAAGACAGGTGGTCTCCAAGACAGGTGCACTCCCAAGACCGGTTGACTCCCAAGGCAGGTGCACTCCCAACACAGATGGACTCCCAAGACAGGTCATCTCCAAGACAGGCGATCTCCCCAGACAGGTGGACTCTCAAGACAGGTGGACTCTCCAAGACAGGTGGACTCTCCAAGACAGG